TGACTGGGACTTCTGTAAATAACTTGTTCCTGCAGAGACTGATTCCTAAACCCCCTCCCCCCACAGTGACCCATGCCTATGAGCCATGGGCCCTGGGAGTAGCCTGGAGCAGCTGAAAGTACATCAGTGAGATCCCTCAAATCCAAGGGTCTAAGTGCATTGGCCCCTTGGGAAGGAGAAGTGGGGTAGAGATCTTGGTACCCCTGGGGCCTCTCCCTTGGTGCCCTTAGGGTTTCTGGATGGAGGGGACCTGTGGGCAGGGCTGTCCTCCTGTGGGTGAGGGGGCCTGGGGACTGCTCTCTTTCCTGGCATGGAGCCCTTGTGCCCCTTGGGTTGAGGGCTGCCTCTCCTGCCCTGTGTCCTGATGCTGTCACCCCAGGTGGGGCACAGGAAGTTGGCAGACATCTCCCTTGGTTCCATATGGCACAATATGAGCTTCCTTGGTTAGGGCTGTCTAGGTCCCCCAGGGAGGATGTCCCCCAGGGATGTGGGGCCTGGAGGCAGGGGCCGAGTCTTAGGTGTGGAGGGGTCACAGTCGTGATCACACGCACTCCTGTGCAAGATGCCTGGGCCAGGGCCAGCCTGGGTCATGTTGGTGCCTCTGCCTGGTCCCAAGACAGCTGTGTGAAGGATGGCACTTCTTATTAGGAGGGAGAGAAGGTAGATAGAGTCCCCTGGTGTTAGGTTTGGTGGGTTCTAGGGTTTCCCCAGTGCTCAGACAGTAAAGAATCTGCCTGCAATGCAGAAGGCCCAGATTGGATCCCTGGGTCAGGAAGATCCCCTGGGGGAGGGCACGGCAACCCACTCCAGTATTCTTGCCTGGAGAATCCCATGGAGAGAGGAGCCTGGTGGGCTACAGTCCTTAGGGTCACACAGAGTCAGACACGACTGAAGCAACCGAGCACGCTCACAGGAACTCTAGAGTCCGAGATGTCTTTTCGAGACCAGGAGGACTAGCCCCTGGGAGATGGGTCATTGAGTGGCCCAGATGGATCCTTGGACCAAAGTAGCTGAAATTACTTCAGAGCAGAAAAACTTCCTGCTGATCTCTGCTCTCCATAAAATCATGTTTACGCATATGTGCGCGCACTCATGCACACGTATACACACATGGGTCGACTGGGCCTGGGGCCCAGAGAGCAGCGAGGAGGGCAGGCACCAAACCAGACGCTTGCTGGGGGGTGGGGAGCCGGAGTTGGGCCACTGCCCACCCAGCCCTTTCTCGAGGGGCTGGGGCCAGGGCCCAGGCAGAGTGAGTGTCTGCGTATAGATGGCTGTTGGGGAGCCAAGGAAATGGCTTGGAAAATGTCCTTATTGGGTATTTGCAGCTCCAGCTTCATTGGGGTTGTGCCTGGTGTGGGCAGATGGCTCTGTCTGCTGGTTTTGTTGGTGGGGGGGCGGGGTGTTCTTGAGCCCGCCCTGTGCCCTCCGGGCGCTCTGGGCCATGCTATGAGCTTTTCATTTATGAACCCGCTTAGTCTCAAGCAGCCTGGGTGGTAGGAGTGGGGTTCTCGTTTCATGGTAAGGGAGAGGGTCCAGAGAGGCCAGTGGAGGTGGTGTTGCTAGGGAGTCAAAGCTGCTCTGCCGAGTAGCTGCCTCAAGGGTCATGTGGGCCAGATATTTCCCTTCTACACCCAGGGTCTGGGTGTAGAAGGTGGGGTACATGGAGGGCCAGGCTGTGAAAGGGGGGCAGCTTTGGGAGGCCCAGGACTGGTGGGCTTCCCTCACAGACTTTCTCCAGACCACAGCGCTGGGGCATCCTCAAGTCAGGGTTGTGCTGGGGACTGTACCACCTCGATCCCCCCAAAGCCTTCCTCCTCCTCTGTTGTTCAGCTGAAGACTTCGAAGAACTCCTACTTCCCAGCCCCTCCTTGGTCTGCCCGTTTCCTCCCAGACAAAAGACTAGACCAGCGCCTCCTGCAGACGGTGAGATGGCCGGACTGGGCGCCCCTTGCAGTGTCTTCTTGGTGAAGTGGGTGTCAAGGCTCTGGGCCGGTCTCCAGTGTGGGGAGCCTGGTGGCTGGGATGTGGGCTCAGAGCAGGGGCCAGGGTCTTAGAGGAGGCCTGGTGGCTGCCCTCCCTGCCTTCTGTAACATCTGAAGCCTGCCCCCGCTAAGCAGTAACCAGGACCTGCTGTGAGCTGACGTCAGGGCACAGGGCCCCTCGGGGCCAGCTTTGATGTTCCCCAGGCCCTGTCGAAGGGGTGCGGGGGGCTCTGAGTGGCAGTCTGGGAATGCAGTATCTCACCACAGCTCCGCCAGTGCCAGGAGGGGACAGGATGCTGGAGGGAGGCTGAACTGGGGTCCCTCTGAGTCATGCCATCTCCTCTCCCAACTCGGGTTTCTGTGGCAAGGGGTCTGTGCTTCCTGCAACCTCTCAGCCCCTTTCCTTCCACCCCACCCACCCCCCCTCGCCACCTGATGATCCCTTCAGAACTTCCCTGCAGTGGTGGCTGCTTCCCATCTGGGGTCTGGGTGGGCATTGGGCCTCGCGTGGGGGGAGCTTTATAACATCCCGAGAGCTTGCATCTTTGGGCAGGAAGCGTGATGATGGTTAGGATGACGGTAGCTGCCTGCTGAGTGGGCTCATCCAAGGCATTGCACAAGAAATTGCTGCATTTGCGAGTCACGAGAGGGTGAGAGAAAGCTAGGGTTCCCACTGTGTTCCTTGCGCAAGGTCAGTTGCACCGAGTGTGGATCTGACTCAGACCCTTATAACTAACCTCCTGTGGGTGGGCGAGCCTCCTGGTCCCCACTGTGTCTGGAGAGCCCGAGCGGGGGAGTGGGGGTCGTCTACACCTGGAGGCAGATAAACTCTCTTTGTCTTTGATGAGTGTCTGTAGTTCTGGGTTGAAGTTTCCCAGATTTGAATGAGTCACGTGTGCAGAGGCCCGCTGGGGCCTCCGCCCGAGGCTGCCCATCTGTGTCAGGAGTGGGTGTCGGGAAGTGTTCCGGATGCTTCTGTGCCTGCCGGCTCTCGCCCCTCACTTCTTTGAGGTTCCCTCCATTCAGCCACTGTTCACTGAGCACCTTTGTGAGGGTGGTGTTATCTGCGGGAGGTGTGTCTCTCTCTGTAACTGGCTGCAGGGCGTGAGACCCATTCTGGGCTCAGCTATTTCCAGGACTGGTTTTGAGTTCTTGGGCGGGGCTGGGAAGAGTGTGGTGTGGGTATGGAGTCGGGCTCCTTGGGTCACGGTCCCAGCTCTGCCACAAATGAGCTATTTGATCTTGAGCAAATCCCTTCATCTCTCTGGACCTCAGTTGACTCAACCAGCTTGCTTAGGGAGGGCAGGGACCACACTCCAGTGCAGTGTTTGGAAGCGAGTGGGGGTGTTTGGGTTGTGAGGGTGACTGGGGGCAGCTTTGCTGACTGGCACAGTGGATGGGATAGCCCAGCGTGGTGGAGAATTATCCCATCCAGTGAGCCAGCAGGAACCTGCTGAGAAGTATTGGGGGAGCGCCCAGCCCCTTTCAGCACCGTGTGTCTTGCACGCTGGTCGCTTTAGAATGTTGGGAGATGGCCCAGCATCAGGGGCAGCCCCTCCTCTGGACCTAGCCCTGGGGGATCCTGGACTTGTCTTGATGCTCATTTTTTTTTTTTTTTAAATATTTTTATTTATTTGGCTGTTCTGGGTCTTAGCTGAGGCAGGCGGGATTCATTTCCCTGACCAGAGATGGAACCCAGGCCCTCCAGATTGGGAGGGCAGAGTCCCAAGGACCACCGGGGAAGTCTCCTTGACACTGACTTTATGAGGAGACTGGTTCTTGTGGCCTAAAGAACCACTCCCCCTGCCGTGCCCAGGGACTTGGAAGGGAGCTCCAGTGGTTTGGGAAGGGGCAGGCAGGACCCCGTTAGTCTCTCCCTTCCTGCCCTGGCCGGGCCCGGTTTGGCCAGAAGCAGAGCCTGCTTCTTCACGTAGCAGCCCCAGGCAGCCTATTTCCCCTCCCTGGAGGGGCAGCACATCCCGCCCTGTGCCATCACCCACCCTTCCCCGCCCCCCGCAGCGGGTGTTCCGGGCCCCGAAGCTCCGGGCCCCAGCTGGGCGCCCACGCAGGCCAGGAACAAAGCTCAGTGTGTTATTCCTGTGCGGCAACCGTGCCACCTGCCCGGCCCTGCCCTCCGCCTCCTTCGCCCATCTGCTACTCTGCCCAGGCCCTTCACCTGTCCCTTTGTCTGGTTCCACCTTTGGTTGCAGGGCCCCTTTATATGAGGGTGCTGGCCCCGGCCAGAGCTGGAGGGGTAAACCTGGGACCACTTAGCTCACCTCTCAGTTAGCCCAGAAGAGCCAGCCTTGGACACAGATGGACCCCTGGGATTGGAGAGTAGGAGGTGGGGTGGCCCTGGCATGTCGTGGGGAATAACACCAGATCCAGAGAATACTGGCTTCTCCTGTGATGGGACGGGTTCTCCCAGAGACACCCCTGGGAAATGCTGGACTGTGGAGAGTCTGTGGGTGGGATTCAGAGCCCCCGCTTCTGACCTATGGCCACCTCTGATGCTGGACCCTCAGCGGGTGTGTGAGAGCCAGTAATCCTTCTGAGAAGCTATTTGGATCTGCTCTGTGACCTGGGTTCTGAAGATGGTTGCTTGTTAATGTTCCCCACTCCTCGGTCCAGCATCTCCTGTGATCTGATCCCATAGCTCCGAACTCTTTTTCCTCTCGGGAGGGTCCTATGTGGCATTAACCCCCTCCCTCCTCCAGCCCTTGGGGCTCCCTCCCACTTCAGCATTCTAGAGACACCGACTGCCCACATCATTCATGAGTTTTGCCTTTGTCCTGTGTCCCCCCTCCAGACCAGCCCCCTGGAGGGTACTGCGTCTTTGTTTCCCGTGGAGTACCCAGTACAGTGTAAACATTCCTCAGTAAACAGTTGGGGTCTCATGATCCTTCTCACTTGCACTTGTTGGACGCCTCCTGTGTACAGGGCGATGGGCAGCGACGTTAGGACCGTGGCTGTAGCTCCCCACGACCCCATCTTTCCCGTGTTCCCCACCCGCAGGTGCCCAGGCAGCCGTTGTCTTCATCAAGGAGCCGTCCTCCCAGGACGCGCTGCAGGGGCGCCGGGCGCTGCTCCGCTGTGAGGTTGAGGCCCCGGGCCCAGTGCACGTGTTCTGGCTGCTGGACGGGACCCCCGTCCAGGACACTGAACGGCGCTTCACCCAGGGCAGCAGCCTGAGCTTCGCGGCTGTGGACCGGCTGCAGGACTCGGGAGCCTTCCAGTGCGTGGCTCGGGATGAGGTCACTGGAGAAGAGGCCCGAAGCGCCAATGCCTCCTTCAACATCAAATGTGAGAGCCGGGGGGCTATCTGCCCCCGAGAGACCCTCAGTTCCTGAACCCCGCGGGGGGACCCCCTCCTTTGCCACAGCTCCTCCCATCTCCAGTTGAACGGGGCAGGGAGAATGCAACTGAAGTCAGCTCTCTGCTTGTACGGACAGGAGGAAGTTGAAAGTTTTCATTTTTCCAAGGGTTATTTTTTTCCCCCTTCAAGTCTTGGACCCGGTGATCTGCTGGATAGTTTTGCAAATGGCAGGAGCCGTGAGGCAGGGTGGCCCCGTGTCGCTTGGTCCCCGAGCCTCCAGGTTCCGGCCTTCCCTGCTTGTCTTCCTTTCCCTCTGTGCTCCCTCCCTTGCTCTGCCCTGCGCCCCTCACGCTGCAACCTTGGCCTCCGCTCCAGGGCTCGAGACCGGTCCCGTAGTCCTGAGGCATCCGGCCTCGGAAGCTGCGATCCAGCCCCTGACCCAGGTCACGCTGCGTTGTCACATCGATGGGCACCCTCGGTAAGGAGACTTTGGGGAGGGGAGGGAAAGGGTGATTATTCTTGACTGGCAGACCTGTCTCCCCCAACTGGGGGCTCTGCCACCACCCTGCCCACATGTTGCTCCACCCTGGGCCCTGGTCACTGGAGAAGGGGCAGCCTTGTGCCGTGGAGCAATCCTGGGAGCTGGGAAATCTAGGATCTCCGCCAGATTCTGCCCCCGGGGTGGTGTACCTCTGTGCAAGTCACGGGCCCTCTCCAGGCCTCAGTTTCCCCATGTGTAAACTGAGGGGTCTAGCCCTGACTCTGGTTTTGCACCCTTCCTACTGGCCACTTGAGAACACCCCCTCCCCCACCCCCCGCTGCTGACCCGCTCGGGCCCCGCAGGCCCACCTACCAGTGGTTCCGAGATGGGAGCGCCCTCTCTGACGGCCAGAGCAACCACACGGTCAGCAGCAAGGAGCGAAACCTGACCCTCCGGCCGGCGGGCCCTGAGCATAGCGGCGTCTACTCTTGCTGTGCCCATAATGCCTTTGGCCAGGCCTGCAGCAGCCAGAACTTCACCTTGAGCATCGCTGGTGAGCCCGGGGGTCAGGGGTGGGGAGCTGGGGACGGGGAAGGGGTCTGCCCACCTCGCCTGCTCACGTGTCCGTGCCTCCCCACCCCAGATGAGAGCTTTGCCAGGGTGGTCTTGGCACCCCAGGATGTGGTGGTGGCAAGGAATGAGGAGGCCATGTTCCACTGTCAGTTCTCAGCCCAGCCGCCCCCGAGCCTGCAGTGGGTCTTTGAGGATGAGACGGCCATCACTAACCGCAGCCGGTAAGACATTAAAAGTTGTGTGTGCATGCATGCTCAGTCGTGTCCGACTCTGCGACACTGTGGACTGTAGCCCTCCAGGCTCCTCTGTCTGTGGAATTTTCCAGGCAAGAATACTGGAGTGGGTTGCCGAACTCTCCTCCAGGGGATCTTTCCAACCCAGGGTTTGAACCCACATCTCTTATGTCTCCTGCACTGGCAGGTGGATTCTTTATAGGTTGTTCTTTAAAGGATCTTAAAGAACCTCTAAAAGGGAGTGAGGTTCTTACCACAGGTGTCCTAGATCTATGCATGGAATTACCTCAGCTTTCCAGCAGGTGGCAGTAGAATGTCTTCCTGTTACAAAGTGAGCCCAACAAGGGGACCCGTCTGTCTCAGGAAGGTCCTCTTTTCCCAGTTCCCGCAGACACGCTGTGTGAGCCCGCAGTGACTTGTTCCTCCCCCCCCCCCCCACACACACACACACACTTACTCTTTGGAAGAAGCAAACAGGACACGGGGAACCTGGGTGATCACGTTGTGGACAAGAAGGTCCCACAAGGTAAAGACACCTTACACACACACACACACACACACACACACACACACACACTTACTCTTTGGAAGAAGCAAACAGGACACGGGGAACCTGGGTGATCACGTTGTGGACAAGAAGGTCCCACAAGGTAAAGACACCTTACACACACACACACACACACTTACTCTTTGGAAGAAGCAAACATTTAGGTCCCTGATGGTAAAGACACACCTTACACACACACACACAGTTTTTGGAAGAAGCAAACATTTAGGTCCCAGATGGTAAAGACAGCTTACACACACACTCACTCACTCACTCACTCACTCACACAGTTTTTGGAAGAAGCAAACATTTAGGTCCCAGATGGTAAAGACACTTTTTTGGAAGAAGCAAACATTTCCAGAAATTGCCGGGAGGTTTCAGGCCCCCCCACAGGGACACTTCTGTCCTCATCCAGGCCCTAGAGAGCAGAGAGCGCCTTGGTGGTGTCAGGTGTGGCTGTGGTCCTTGGAGGTGTGGCTCCCCAGGCTGGGGGCGGGGATCCCACTCGGCTGCAGCCCTGAGGACGTCACCTGTGGTCTGTCTGGTACAGCTGAGGGGCTTCTGATGCTGGAGCTTCTGCTCTACCAGCAGGCTTAATCTCAACTCCCTGGGAAGGTGGCCCCCGTCTCCACAGGTGCACGTCAACTCCTTGATTCCTCTCACTCACACTGCTGCTGCCTGGCTGCCCCAAAGCCGCGTCTCTTGTAGTTAAAATACACACTCCCCACATACATGAACAAATGTATGCACGCACATGCACACACATGCACGCGTCAGCACCGTGTGTCGGCTTCCTTTTCTCTGCCCTGTTCCTGGCCGATTCTTTCCTGCGTACCTGGCCTGCACAGGACGGGGTTCCACTGCCTCCCTTCTGGAGCAAGGCCCCTGGGCCACTCCTTGCCAACATCAGTCTCTCCCCTCCACAGCCCCCCACACCTCCGCAGAGCCACGGTGTTTGCCAATGGGTCCCTGCAGCTGACCCAGGTCCGGCCACGCAATGCAGGGGTCTACCGCTGCATAGGCCAGGGCCAGAGGGGCCCTCCTGTCGTCCTGGAGGCCACGCTCCACCTGGCAGGTGAGTCTGAGGGTCTGGGGTGTCGAGGTGGGGGCTGCCTTCAGCGTTGTTGGCCATGTAGAGGTTGAGGTTCCTGTTTCCTATTCAGAGCAGCTTGGAGGGTGGAGGGAGGAAGAAGATGCCTGGGATCGGACGAGGAGGTGCTGAGGGTCCGGGGGAGGGCTCGTGCTGGGAGCGGGGAAGTGCGCTACGGAGAATATCAGGTGTCCTGGACCCCATGGTAACCCAGCTGTCTGCTCCCGTCCCTATAGAGATCGAAGACATGCCACCATTTGAGCCACGGGTGTTCACGGCCGGCAGCGAGGAGCGAGTGGCCTGCCCGCCCCCCCAGGGTCTGCCGGAGCCCAGTGTGTGGTGGGAGCACGCAGGAGCCCGGCTGCCCGCCCACGGCAGGGTCTACCAGCAGGGCCACGAGCTGGTGTTTGCCAGCACTGCCGAGAGCGATGCTGGTGTCTACACCTGCCACGCGGCCAACCTGGCCGGTCAGCGGAGACAGGATGTCAACATCACCGTGGCCAGTAAGCACCTGTGCCCTGAAGGGCGAGGAGGGGAGCCCGGATCCCAGGAAGTCTTGGGCTCTGGCTGTGATGATGCTCAGAGTCACCCCTGGAGCTCTTCTGAGGTCCCCCTTCAGCTTGAGACCTGCTGGCTTAGGAACCATTCCTCTGCTGGACGGTGATATTGGAGTGGAGGGTGGTGAGCCAGACACAGAGGTTGGGGTGACAGCCCTCCCTGAAAGTGGTCCTCTGGCTGCAGCGGACAGGGCATGGGAGTGGGAGTCTAGAGACCTGGGTCGCTCTGTCCCCAGTCCACAAGGTGACCATGATAGAGAGTCATCTGCTTTGCTAGGGCTCAGTTTCCTCATCTATTAAAATAGAGCTGATAACACATTACCTCCCCTACAGGATGGTCAGAAAGATCAGTGAAGCAGATAAAAAAGACTTTTTCCTTTTCCTTATTGGGAAGGTGATATGGACAGTTATAGGTTGTAATCACTTTATTTGTTGTTATACTCGCTAAATCTCTACAAAGAACTGACTTTCCAGTGAGTCACAACCACGACCTGGAAAAGGTGTAGCATTGTGCCGTGGAGCGATCCTGGGAGCTAGGAAATCTAGACTCTCAGCCAGATTCTGCTTTGAAACCTGCAACGTCACATTATAAAGAGATGCAAGGGACGGGAGGACTGTTTACAGGCTTCTTTGTACATAGTCTGCTCCACCAAGTCAGAGGATGAGAAGTCCTCACAGGGACTGAACCTCAGCGCAACATTTTCAAAAGATGACTCTGGCTGTTCGAGAAGACTAGATTGTTAGGGACAAGACTCTAAACAGGAGAGCATTTAATAGATGACCGTATTTATCTTGGGGAGATATTGAAGGGACTTGAGCAGAGGTGATAGCGGTGGAGGCAAGAGGTGGTGAAGTTCAGATACATTTTATTTCTTAAAAAAATTATTTATTTGGCTGTACTGGGTCGCAGTTGTGACACGCTAGATAATTCAATCTCTGTTGTGGCATGTGGGATCTAGTTCCCTGATCAGGGGTTGAACTTGGGCCCCCTGCATTGGGAGTACGGAGTCTTAGCCACTGGACCACCAGGGAAGTCCTGGGATACATTTTAGAGCTGAGGTAGATGGGGTTTGTGTAGAACGAATGTGATTGGGTGGGGTGGTAGGGAAAGCCATAGAGAAGTCAGCTAAGTTTTTGGCCTATACATTTCGCTGGATAGCGGTGCTGTTTACTGAGAGGAAACTAGGATGAGCAGGTTTGGGGAGAAATCAAGCATTCTCTTTTGCCTGAAGTGCCTGTTAGATATCCAGCTGGAGACGCCAATAGGATCTGCAGGTCTGAGGTTCATGGGGGAGGTCAGGAGCCAGGCTCTAGGTTTGGGACTCATCTACTTGGATAGTATTGAAGCCCATGAGCTGGCCATTGTTCCAGGGAGTATTTAGCCAAAACAACAGAAATTCGAGGACAGAGCCTTGGAAGTTTCTGGTATAAGAAAGCAAGGATTCTGGAATCATGCAGACCAGAGTTTTCAATCCTCTGTCATGCATTAGAATTCATTATTTCTTTGAACCGCTGTCTTCTTATCTGTAAAATGGATATAGAAATGCATACCTCCCCCCACAACTGGGGCCCCAGCCTGTGTTTCTAAGCAGGGAAACAAAGGAAGTTCCTTCTCTGTGTTCCTCCCCTGGTAGGGGAAGAGGCCACAGGGTGGTGTCCCCGGATGAGGCCAGGAAGGTCTGATCCCAGGAGAGAGTGGGCAGGGGGTGATCAAACCAGGGCAGGTATCTGGTGGGTGTCTGTGTGTGTGTGTGTGTGTGTGTATTTTGTAAAGAATTCTTGATCAATAAAAACAGAAACTGTCAAAAAAACAAAAGAAGAAACGCATACCATGGGAGTTCATTGTGGCCCTGAACTAAGATAATGTTAGGAAGGTTCTGGTACCTAGGCCTTCACCAAGGGGTCTTGCAGTTATCACTGGAGGAGACAGGGTTTCTAAATTCAGGGCCTGGGGGAGGTGGGTAATTAGAATTTCCTAGGATTGGATCCATGGGGTTTGGGGACTTGTTGATCAACCTTCTGTTTCCTCCTTGTCCCTCTAAGCGGTGCCCACGTGGCTGGAGAAGCCCCAGGACAGCCAGCTGGAGGAGGGCAAGCCAGGCTATTTGCATTGCCTGACCCAGGCCACACCCAAACCCACAGTTTTCTGGTACAGAAACCAGATGCTCATCTCCGAGGTGAGGATGAGGATTGCTGCTGGGGGGCTGGGGGCCATGGAGTCCTCTGTGTTCAGCTCCCCGGTGCACTTTCCCCCAAGGCAGCCCCAGGGAGAGGCTGGTGGGGGGCAGGTGGAGACCCGTTCCTGGGCACGTCTCCTGTGATGCAGGACTCGCGGTTCGAGGTCTTCAAGAATGGGACCCTGCGCATCAACAGTGTGGAGGTGTATGATGGGACGTGGTACCGCTGCGTGAGCAGTACGCCCGCCGGCAGCATCGAGGCCCAGGCCCGCGTCCAAGTGCTGGGTGAGCTGGCGCCCGGCCCGGCGGGCAGGAGAGGACCGGGGAGGGAACTGCAGGGTCCAGGATCTTCAGGCCTGCCGCCTCAATCCCTCCCCTTTCCCTCTCCTGAAACAGAAAAGCTCAAGTTCACACCACCACCGCGGCCACAGCAATGCATGGAGTTCGACAAGGAGGCCACGGTGCCCTGCTCAGCCACGGGCCGAGAGAAGCCCACTATTAAGTGGGTCCGGGCAGGTGGGTACCCTGTGGGCGTGGGGTGAGGGGGGTGGACAGGCAGTCCACTGGGCAGACGTGTGCCTGTCTCAGGCACAGCTGAGTGCCTGGGTACTGCGGGACAGACAAGAAAGGTAGGGGCTGCTTTATAGTCCAGTTAGAAGAAGAAAGCCAGACACAAAAGAGGTCAGGTTACAGCATTAGACAATGTATAGGATCATTCAAGGCACCAAGTGATTGGATTGGTCCAGACAAGGCAGTAAAGTCCTCCCTTTCCAAAACAGTCATCCTTTCCAACATAAAAATAATCCTTTAGAAAACTTTGGGAAAAAATAATGGATAATCCCACCATCAATCATCTCTGGGTGTGTACCGTTTTCTATGTACATCTTTTTGTTTTTACATAGCAGTTTTATTGTACATCTAATTTTCACTTACTATACTTCCATGACTAAGTCATGCTTACTATAGAAATGGACGATGCAGATAACTATGTAATTTTATCTTTTTTTTTTGCTTCACATTATCAGGCATTTCCCCATGTTTTTATACATAAACATTGGACCATTGGTTTTGATGATTACCATAATATTCTAATAGTTGGATTCACTGTAATTTACTTAAGTATTCACTAAATGTCTGACATTTGGGTTAGCCATCCTCCCTCCCTTTCTCCTTCCCTCTCACTGTTTTTCTCACTCTGTCTTTTTTTTTTATTGCTGCAATAAACATCTTTATGGTGAGGTTTTTTCTGGATTTGGGTTTATTTCCTTTGGGAAAGATTCCCAGAAATGGAATAATTATGTATAAAAGGGTAGGCACATTTTTACATCCCTTGGTGTGAATGGCCAAATTGTTTTTTAAAGGGCTTTTATGTTCCCATTAATAGTGAGAGTTAGAGAGTGGGGTTATCGATTCTGAGAAGCAAGTGGGCCCTCTCTGCTCAGGTGTCTGGGGGAGCATTCTGTAGGGAATGAGGCTCAAAATGGGCAGGACAGTGGCAAAGAGCAGGACTATTTGCTAGGAGTAGGGAGTGACAGGCAGTGATGGTGAGAACAGGGCAAATTCCACACCATTCCAGTTTGGTGGAAGTGGAGAGTTACACAGGGTAATAGAAGGAGGCAAGGTTGGAAAATTAGAAAAAGAGTAACAGTGACTCCCGACCCCTGGTTCAGGAATTTGGACCTTGTCTATGGGTAGGCTGGAGCAATGGCATGTTTTCAAGTGGAGGTGAGTGACTGAAGGCATTGCTGACTGCCATGGGACTCTGGTCTAGCCCATCATTTCCCCATATTTCCCTTGCAGATGGGAGCAGCCTCCCAGAGTGGGTGACAGACAATGCCGGGACCTTGCACTTCTCCCGGGTGACCCGTGACGATGCTGGCAACTACACCTGCATTGCCTCCAACGGGCTGCAGGGCCAGATACGCGCCCACGTCCAGCTCACCGTGGCAGGTGCGACCGTGTCGGGCGCGGGGGCCAGGGCCGCGGCCTGCACCCCGCCAGCCCCATTGCTCACTGTTCCCTGCCCCTCATCGGGTTCTTCCCATCCAGTGTTCATCACCTTCAAGGTGGAGCCAGAGCGCACGACTGTGTATCAGGGCCACACGGCCCTGCTGCGGTGCGAGGCCCAGGGGGACCCCAAGCCGCTCATTCAGTGGAAGGGCAAGGATCGCATATTGGACCCCACTAAGCTGGGACCCAGGTAGGCTGTCTCCTCCACCTCACCCCGCTGCCTCACCTGCAGCTCAGGCTCCCGGGAGCCGGCCAGGTGGGCAACGCCGGGGCTTCTCTCCCGGCAGGATGCACATCTTCCAGAATGGCTCCCTGGTGATCCACGACGTGGCCCCCGAGGACTCGGGCCGTTATACCTGCATCGCAGGCAACAGCTGCAACATCAAGCACACGGAGGCCCCCCTCTACGTCGTGGGTATGGGGCCTGCAGGGCTGTCTTGCACGGGAAGTGGGGGGCCCGATTTCTTTCTCATCTTTGTTCTCATCAGCCCTGTACACAAAAGTCACTGGAACCGGTTTTTGCGACGGGGGCAGGGATTCAGTGACAGGGGCGGGGATTCATCAACGGGGGTGGGGATTCAGCGGTCCCCTCCTCGGGGCCACCACACAGTCTGTCTCAGGTTCCTTGCCCTGACCTGGGCTGTTATTTACATCTTCCACAGCTGGGGTGTGTGAGCCTGTGGCAGTGGGGGGTGCTTTTGTCTTTAGATGCTTCCTCCCAGGTCTGTCCTCCTGGTCAGGGTGGGGAGAGAATGAGGCCAGGCTGCAGCAGCACGCGGTTCCTTTGCCCTGGAGACCCAGAGGGTGAAACGTGAAAGGCCTGAGTAGGGCCTGGGACTTGGGGTTTGGGCCTGCCTGACCTCTCCTGATGCCTAGCTCTTCTGGGTGGTATTTCCTCTTTTTTTTTTCTGTTAATATGGGAGTGGTTTGAACAAGAGGCTTTCAAACATTTTGGTTCAGCTGCAGAACAGATTTTCTAAATTTTTTTTTTTACTTTATCTGGCTGTGCCAAGTCTTAGTTGCAGCATGTGGGACCGAGTTCTATGACCAGGATGGGAACCTGGGCCTCCTGCATTTGAGAGTGCAGAGTCTTAGCTCCTGAACAACCAGGGAAGTCCCAGAACTGGTTTTTTAGACAGGGTTTTCCATAGAACTTTAAATGGGTAAAGTGAAGTGGTGGCCTCTTGGTTGAAGCCTCTGGGTGTGTGTGCGAACTGGGGGATCCTGCATGGCCTCCTGTCTTGGGCCTTTCTCCCGCCTGGCATCTCTTTCTCCATGACACCCAAGGCCACTGAAAGCCTGTAGACTAGATGATTCCTTCTGGAAAAGTGTTTCTTGAACCTGTTCTGTGCTGGGTGATGGCTGGGGCTCTAAACCAGATGTTCCCATGTGCAGCTCAAGATTTCAAGTCACTAAGGAAGCTTGTTAACAATGGTGTGGATTTGTGATGGGGCCGACTGTGGTGTGCTTCTGATGCGTGTTCCGGGCTTGTGTCTGGGTGCAGAACCAGTCTGGAAATCACTCAAATCCTGCAGAGCTCCCTCTGGCCTCATGGGCTCCCAGGAACTGGCCCTTGTTGAAGCCAGTGATGGAGGTGACCCTCCCCGGTCGCTCCGGCTTGGTCAGAGCATCAAGTAGTCCGGGAGGCTGTTGAATGTGTGCAGTGGAGAGCGGCCGGCAGAGCAGTAGGGCTGGATTTGCTTTAATGGCCCCTGCCTACACCTGTCTGTGTGTCTCTCAGACAAGCCGGTGCTGGAGGAATCCGAGGGCCCGGGCAGCCCTCCCCCCTACAAGATGATCCAGACCATCGGGCTGTCGGTGGGCGCCGCTGTGGCTTACATCATCGCCGTGCTGGGCCTCATGTTCTACTGCAAGAAGCGCTGCAAGGCCAAGCGGCTTCAGAAGCAGCCGGAGGGCGAGGAGCCAGAGATGGAGTGCCTCAACGGTGAGGGGCCCTGGAGGAGGGAGGCGATGCCTCGCGCAGGTGCTGAGCGCCCTCCCGTGGCCGTGGAGGAAAGTGCAGCAGTTGGAGCCAAAGCAGAGCCGCACCCACCCCTTCCCCCGCTCAAGCCCCGCCCCCAGGTTGGCCGATTCCCAGGGCCTCCGCTTCTGGGCAGCCTGGATTAAGTCTTCCTCATTGGATTCTCGGGGTAGCTTCCGGTGTTTCCCTGCCTTTTCCCTGCAGTTCTAAACCACAGGCATAATTTCAGTATAGGGCTTCCCTGGTAGCTCAGCTGGTAAAGAATCCACTTGCAATGCAGGAGACCCCGGTTTGATTTCTGGGTTGGGAAGATCCCCTGGAGAAGGGATAGGCTGCCTGCTCCAGTATTCATGGGGTTCCCTGGTGGCTCAGCTGGTAAAGAATCCGCCTGTAATGCGGGAGACCTGGGTTCGATCCCTGGGTTGGGAAGATACCCTGGAGAAGGGATAGGCTACCCACTCCAGTATTCTGGCCTGGAGAATTTCATGGACTGTATAGTCCATGGGGTCACCAAGAGTCGGACACAACTGAGTGACTTTCACTTCCAGCCCCCACCCCTCCACCCGCCCCCTGGAGTTGGCTGATTCCCAGGGCCTCCACTTCTGAGCAACCTGGCTCATATGCGTTAGTGTTCTTTTCACAGCTTGTCTCTCCCTCCGTTAGTCTTGAGTTTCCCAGGGTGGGGTGGGGGGCTCTGTCTGCCTGTTTCCCTCCTCCTACTCTTCCTTTCCTCCGCTGGGAGCCCCCTAGGGACACGGCTGGGTCTCCCCTCTCACTTTAGGGGTTCAGGAGCAGGACTGGGGTTTCCCTTGTTGTGATTGTCCCTTTGGGCCTGTTTAGAGCTTTGCGTTTAGGAGACCCTAGGAAAGCAAAAACCCTTATGTCACCAGGCTGTCCAGGGACCAGTGACTCAGCTGAGAATTGTGCTGTCTCTTTTTAAAGGTTGTAATTGGCTATGTCAATGAGTGGTCAGATCCTAAGGGGTGCCGGGCTCCCTCACCCCAGCCCCTTCAGTTCATTGACCGGATTGTGTGTGGACTTTGTGTAGATGACTAGGACTGGACCCCTTTGGAAGTGGGAGATTGTGGGAAAGAATTGCATTCCCCATGGTGGCTAGTCTCATCCTCACTCTCCCTCGACCCCTCTTGCCAGGCGGGCCTCTGCAGAACGGACAGCCCTCGGCCGAGATCCAGGAGGAGGTGGCCTTGACCAGCTTGGGCTCTGGCTCCGCCGCCACCAGCAAGCGCCACAGCTCCAGTGACAAGCTGCACTTCCCGCGGGCCAGCCTGCAGCCCATCACCACGCTGGGTGTGTTGCCATGGCCGCCATCACCCCCTACTTAACTGCAGGCTCCAGGTCTGTCTTCAGGCTGCACCAGGGGCTGGTGCCTCTGGAGCCCCTGAAGCCCAGAACCTCAGAAACGGAGGGAGCATCAGGGTGACCTGGCCCAGTGGGTCCCCCATGTGCCCGTTGTCCACACCCCACCCCCGAGATTTTTGTCATTCCTGTGTATTATTCACTTGATGTTTTCTTTAGATTGACTTTCTCTCACCTTTAAAAAAATTGAGCTCTGTCGACTCGATGGACATGAGTCTGAGCAAACTCCGGGAGATAGTAAAGGACAGGGAACCCTGCCGTACTGCAGTCCATGAGGTCGCAAAGAGCCAGACACGACTGAGTGACTGAACAGAAACAACAAGCTTAGTTGTAGGGAAAACTGTGAGAGGTTACGGATCTGTGTTTTATGAGTATAGGTTAAAGTATAGAAGTAAGATGTGTTAACGGTGAATCACTTAAAATTCTCATACAGACCACCTTCTAGAAAATACTGTTAATCTGACCCCTTTATTTCACTGTTAGAGACTGCCAATCCCAGGGAAGAAGGGGGAGTGGTTTGCTCAGAGTTACACACAGGGCCTGGGCCACTGTCCGGTCTAGCTGGGCAGGAGCAGAGAGACGCCCCTGCGTGTGACCCCGGCCAGGTGCCTCCCAGGTCAGGGGCATCCTCGGCTTTCTGACTCAGTCCTGTGCCCACAGGCAAGAGCGAGTTCGGGGAGGTGTTCCTGGCGAAGGCACAGGGCTTGGAGGAAGGATTGCCTGAGACCCTGGTGCTCGTGAAGAGCCTGCAGAGCCGGGATGAGCAGCAGCAGCTGGACTTCCGGAGGGAGTTCGAGATGTTTGGGAAGCTGAACCACGCCAATGTGGTGCGGCTGCTGGGGCTGTGCCGCGAGGCTGAGCCCCACTACATGGTGCTGGAGTACGTGGACCTGGTATGCTGCCGGGGCGCCCTGGCAGTCTCGGGCGGGGGCAGTGCCCTGATGTGGGGGGGTGGAGGGCACCGATGGGAGCCTGCTGTCGCCACCGTGAGATGTTCAGCCTCCTGTTCCCCCAATTCCGACCCCGCCTTTCCTTAACCCTCACCCCGTTTCCCATCTGCTGGCCCCCTGTCTGGGGTTTGCTTCCAGTTTTCTTCCAGCTTCTTCCTCAGCCCAATGGCATGGATGCCTTCCAGGCCCTTTTCCCTGACTCTGGTTTTCTTTGCTTTATCATTTTTCACTCTCCCCAGGGCCTGTCAGCCCTTGAGAATAAACATAACGAGAACCTGGCTTTCCTTCTCTCCCTGCAGCCGGTGCCCCTGGAGGGACAGTGTTCGCTTAGCCACCGGCCTTCTCTTTCTCCCCGCTGGTGCTGCCCAGCCCTGCCCCTCACTCTTCAGTCCCGGGCTCACTGGGTCTAGTCCCCTTCATCCTCAAAAACGGCTGTGTGGCAGACTGTCCAGCTCGGGTGCAGGAAGGGTGAGGCGTGACCCTCGTCCTTCCACGAACAAGGGCTTACGAGCGCTCTGTGCGTGTTTCTGCCGCAAGGGTCCTGTCTTTGTTATGTCTGGAGGATGAGGCTTTCCTGTCTGGGGTCTGTGAAGACCGCAGGTCGGGACCGGTTTTCCTCTTGGCGCTCTCAGGACAGGGGCGTCCTCTCCTGCCTGTCTGGGGGTTCCCCCCAGGGCAGCAATGACTGTCTTCCTCCCTTTCTGACTGGGAGTTTCTAGGACAGCGGTCCCCAGCCCCCGGGATCTGATGCCTGATGATCTGAGGTGGAGCTGATGTAACCGTGGTAGAAAGAAAGTGCATGATAAACTTAATGTGCTTGAATCCATCTGAAACCATCCCCTCCCACTCTGTGGGAAAACTTGTCTTCCACGAAATTGGTCCCTAGTCCCAAAAAGCCTGGGGACCGCTGTTGTAGGAGATGCTTCCTATAAGTTTTAGTTGCCACTGGACTCTCCCCATGGCGGGGGGTCTGGGCTGAGGGTCAGGCATTCAGGTTGGGGGTCCTCCACCCCCCCCCCCGGGCAGGCACCCTGTGAGCACCCACTGAGTTGGGTTTTGGGGGGACACTTCCTGGGCTGTGATCTGACAGAGATGCTGGGTTTTTTGCTCAGGGAGACCTTAAACAGTTCCTGAGGATTTCCAAGAGCAAGGATGAGAAGTTGAAGTCGCAGCCCCTCAGCACAAAGCAGAAGGTGAGGATGGTGGGGGTGGAGTGGGGGGTCGGGAGCCGGGCAGTCCTCTAGCAGGCGCCCTGGTTGGGCGCTGCCCGCGGGCCAGGCCCCCGGATGAGCACTAGGGGATCTCGGTGATCCTCCGGGATGGCGTCACTTCCCTGCGGTGGGTAAAGACACAGAGGCTGAGACGGGTTAAGTGACCGGTCGGAGCCTGTGAGCCACCCTATGTGGCCACACTGCCCTCGTGTAGAAGTGCCGCCCTTGGCCCCGGGCCATTGGAGCAGGACGCCTGCTGAGGGCGCTGAGCTGAAGGGGCAGCCGGCAGCCCGGGCGTCTCTGGGCGGCGAGGCTGGGCGCGGCCCTGAGCGTGTTCCCTCATCCCCCGGGGGTGTGGACAGGCTGCCAGGGTTTCACCGCCTGTGGTTTTCACGCTTTTGCTCTCACTTGGGCTGTGGGCTGCCCAGCCTTTCCTTCCGGTTCTCCTCCTGCCTCTGGCACAGAGCCCTGGCCGGGGCCCCATGGAGACACAGACCTGGGCTGAAACAGTGAAGAAGGGAACGCTTCCTACGACCCCCGTCCGCCTCGGACCATGTCTTCTGTGCCCAGCTCCCCCTGCCCGCCGCCTCCTCCTCCCCCCTTCCCCCTCCCTGCTTCCGTGTGACCAGGTATCCTGTGTCCACGGTGACAGTGATGTCACCACATAAGCAAGCAAAGCTCAGGGCAGGGAGGCAGACTGCTGGGCCTCCTTTCCGGGTGACCGTCCCGGCCTAGAGGCTGACCCGGGTCATGGCAAGATGTGGCTGGTTAATCAGGCAGGGGGGTGGGGGGATCCCTGGCTGCCCTCCCATCTCTCTGCAGGAGCAGCTCTGTGACCTTCAGGCTGACCTTTTCCCATCACAGGTGAATTTGCTGAGGCCCAGACAAGGCCAGTGAGCTGGCCTCCTGATGTGGTGCCCCTGCCTCCATCTCTGAGGAGCCACAGGACAGTTTGCGGTGGCTGGAGAAGGGAAACCGCAGGACAGGATGGCTCTCGCCAGCTGGGTGGGATGTCAGGACCCCAGAGCTCACAAACCAGAGCATGCAGGGAACCAGTGAATCATCACTGGGCCAGTCACGGTGCTCAGGGCCCTTGGGGATCCAAAATTGAGACCACGGGACATCCTTGGGCACTAAAGGATCTGGGGGGAGAGCTTGGGTACATGAGTGCAGCACATGCTTTACAGACTTCAGATAAGATACGAAAAGTCAGCAAGAGACATAAAGAGTGTCATAAGAGATGTAAGAGACCTTGAAGGTGTCTGTGTCCTTTAGGTGGACAGACAGTGTGAACAAAGAAAGCCATTCAAATTCAAGTCTTCAGGATAAGAAGTAGGTGAGTGGTGGGAGAAGAGGAGCCTGGGTATGTCGTTGTGGCTGAGACAGGGGTGTAGGCAAGGGACAGGAAGTCAGTTATTTCCTTCACGTGACCCGAGGGACTCTGGCTGAAATCATCACCACCTTTGCTGAAGATCTCTTGCATACTTTGTTGCCCGAGCATCTTGAACTTGATGGGGAAACTTCAGTAAGTTGGTTTCCACACTCTCCGAGGACAGTGTTCTGCATTGAATGGTGGGGGAAGTACGGGAAACTGTAAATTTCTGAATCATACCTCAGACTTAGGGCAGAATCTTTGCAAGTGGGATCTGAAGACCTAAACTTTTTGAATAAGCTCTCCAGCTGATTCTTAAGCTAATTAAGGTTTAAGGAGCCGTGGGATAGGACAGTGGCTTGAGATGGTTTTGCTTAGAGTCTCGTATAAGAAATGCATTTTATATCATGGCCCAGCACATGCCCCTCCCTCACACATAGACACTTAAAGCTAGAATTAAGCTTTCACAACACTGTATTTGATGCTCTTAATATTTCTTATCCTATATTTATTTTTAACACACTGAATTGGCTTTGAGAACTATATGGGTCTTTTTTTAAAGAAATTATTTATTTTTGGCTAAGCTGGGTCTTTGTTGCTGCACGCTGGCTTTCTTTAGTTGCAGAGAGTGGGGATCACTCTCTAGTTGCGGTGCCTGGGCTTCTTGTTGTGGTGGCCTCTCTTGTCCCTGGAACACAGACTCTGGGCTCTTCGGTTTTAGTAGTTGCAGCATGCGAGCTCAGTGGTTGAGCCTTGCTGACTGTAGGGTGTGTAGGCTTCAGTAACTGACACCAGGGCTTAATAGTTGTGGTACATAGGCTTAGTTGCTCTCCCGCATGTGGAATCTTCCCAGAGCAGGGATTGAACCTGGGTCCTCTGCATTGGCAAGCAGATTCCTATCCACTGCCCTAGCAGGGCTTCCTGGGTAGCTCAGCTGGTAAAGAATCCTCCTACAATGCAGGAGACCCCAGTTCGATTCCTGGGTTGGGAAGATCCCCTGGAGAACGGATAGGCTACCCACCCCAGTATTCATGGGCTTCCCCAGTGGCTTTACCATCTGATGGTAAACAATCCACCTGCGATGCAGGAGACCTGGGTTTGATCCCTGGGTTGGAAAGATCCCGTGGAGGAGGGCATGGCAACCCACTCCAGTGTTCTTGCCTGGAGAATCCCTGTGGACAGAGGAGCCTGGCTGGGGCTACAGTGCATGGAGTTGCAAAGAGTCAGACACAACTGAATGACTAAGCACAGCCCAGCACTAGCAGGGAAGTTCCCATGTGGGTTTTGACTGGTAGTTTGAAAAACTTCCTTTGGGGGATTCTATGAAAATGAAAATCCTTAAGAAAGACACATTAAACCTTGTAGATGCTTTCTTGTGCTAACAATGTAGTGAGCCGCTGTGCCACTTTATGTTTCTAGGGTCCTTCCTGGGGGGATGGAGGGAGAGCACGATCAGGTTTTAAAGGGAGGTGGAGTGGTAGGCAGGCTGCTTCTTGGTCAGCTAGAGCTGGAACAGGAGTGCCATGCTTGGTATGGGTGAGCTGGTGGGAGTCCCAGGAGGATTCCTGGTCAGCAGTGGAGGAGATCAAAGATGTTCGGGGACTTCCCTGGTGGTCCAGTGGCTGAGACTCCACACTCCCAATGCGGGGGGCCTGGGTTCGATCCCTGGTCGGGGAACTAGATCCCATGTGCTGAAACTGAGCTAAGAGTTCACATGCCGTAACTAAATTTCCCACATACTGCAACTGAGACCCTAAATAAATACATAAAATATTTTTAAAAAGAACATACGATGGCCCTAGGTATTGGCGTGGTTGTAGGTGATGCTTGTTAGAGTTGATGAGGTGAAGGGGGCTTTGAAGTCTGAGCACTATAACCTGTGATTTCTTCGTGGATCACCTGCAGACTGATAACGAGGCAGGAGCAGTCTAGTACACCTGGTGCCCGCTTTTGCTTTAAGCAGTCAGAAGCTGGATGGGAAGCCCGGCTGTCTGGGAAGACCCTGGAAGTGTCACAGGGGCTTGGCCAGAACTCGGGCGAGCCCTCTGGGTATACAAGTTGGAAGGAAGGGTGGGTCTGGTCTTTACCAAAGTGCAAGTCTTTGTAACAGTGTTTGAAGATTAATCCCGTGGCCATCCAATGGCGGCTCGCCCAGCAATAAGAAAACACTTATTTGGCTGGGGTTAACAGAATTCCCTTTTACTATCCTCGCTTAGCCAGTATTTCCAGAAGCACTGCCTGTCTGGAAAGATAGCAAGTTAGTCACCGAGCCAAGTTCTCTCTCTTCTGCTCCCATGACTCGCAGTAGATTGAGGAGCTTGTGAGCCAGAGCAGAGAGGGCAGGCTGAGGAGGAGGGTGAGTCTGATGAGAGCTGTGACAAAGGGCTTTGCTGCTGTTTACCGACAACCAGGCAAGGCTGGACGGTGCCCTGGGGTTCTGACGCCTGAAGTGGGTGTCCGTTTCTGAGGCCTCTTTACCATCAGTGGTACTCGAGGCTTTCTGAGGATGACAGCCTGGCAGCCGGAGCTCTTGGGGGAACATGGTCTCTGCTTTTCCTTGGAGATACGCTGCCGGGCCCTGTACCCACGAGGGCTCAGTCATCCTGGTGGACCCCCATTAACCTGACCTCTCCTCACTGGCTCGCACAGTCATTTGGAAGCTCTCCAGAGATTTTGTGGCTTCACCTTAAACAAAAATTATTATTATTTTCATTTGTCGGTACCTGCTGTTAGTAGTGGCACACAGCATGTGGGATCTCTACTTGTGGCCTGCAAACTCTTAGTTGTGGCATGTGGGATCTAGTTCCCTGACCAGGGATTGAGCTCAGGCACCCTGCCTTGGGAGTGTGGAGTCCTAGCCACTGGACCACCAGTAAAGTCCTGTGGCTTCCCTTTTGATAAAGAAAATGCACCAGGAAGATGAGCTTTCCTGCTTGTGGTCCGAGTTCAGCCCATCTGCACGTTCAGTGTCGGTCGATATATTGGATCTTTAGCGTGTCCAGGCTGGTGGTGGTTTGGGTCAGCACTGCCTAATAGAACTTCCCTCGGTGGTGGAAACATTCCATACCTGTGCTATCCAGTGCGGAAGGTGCCAGCTCCTGTGGGGTTATTGAGCACTTAGGATGTGGCTAGAGAGACTGAGGAACTGAATTTTTACGTTATTAAGCTTTTATTAAGTAGTTGGGAGCTACTGTTTTGGACAGCTGAGGTATAGATCTTTCTTTTTTGTTTGTTAAAATGTTTATTTATTTGATTGGACTGAGTCCTAGCTGCAGCACATGTGATCTTCAGGTGTGGCATGTGGGATTTTTAGTTGCTAGTTGTGACACATGGACTCTTTGTTTCAGCATATTGGATCTAGTTCCCTGACCAGGGATCAAACCTGAGTCCCCTGCATTGGGAGCACAGAGTCTTAGCCATTGCACCACCAGGGATGTCCCTGTTGTTTTTTTAAACATTTTTTGACTGAGACCCACAGTAGCAAAAAAAAAGCGCCTTTTTTTTTTTTTTTACATCACAATGCAACACAGACATGTATATATATGAAGAAGTTCCCATGAATGATATTGACCCTTACCGAGTGTGATGCTCTTTGATATTTTCAATTCCCCCCCAAAAAATGCTGACGAAGATTCACTAAGTGGGTTTTGTGACATACTAATAGGTTGTGACCACAGTTAGCAAACCTCTAGTGGGGGCAGTGAAGCCTGCAGGGATCTCAGACCGAGATCTGCTTTTAGAGTGACCCTGCTGCCCGTGTGTTCGGACTCGGATCCTCTGTCTGGGAGCCAGGCCAGTGAAGCTGCTCGGGGTCAGCCTGGGATGCCGAGGGGCCAGTCCACAGGCAGCACCCCCTCATGAGTGAGGCGCTCACCTCACTGATGGCAGACCGCCGTTCCTGGGCCCCTGCCCGATGAGGTGACCCAGGAGGGCCAGCTGCGGTGCTGAGGGGAGAGCCAGGCCTTGGCATCAGCCCGGACTAGGGGCAAAGCTGAGGAGCCCGCCTCACAGGGAGCAGGGGTAAGGTGGGAGCAGCCCCTCGACCACTCACATTCACTTTTGCTCCCTTTTGAACTTCAGAGACAAAGAATCACACTAAACATAATCAGACAATATCAGGTGCGTCCAGGGTGGTATGGCTATGTATGCATGCCTATTCAGTCGTGTTAGTCATGTCCAACTCTTTGAGACCTCATGGAATGTAGCCCACCCTATGGACTGTAGCCCACCCCATGGACTGTCCATTTAGCCTGGTAGACAGAAAATCGCATGGACAGAAAATCCTCTGTCCATGGGGTTTTCTAGGCAAGAATACTGGAGTGGGTTGCCATTTCCTCCTTTGGGTCATCTTCCTGACCCAGGGGTCAAACCTGTGTCTCCTGCTGCTCCTGTATTGCAGGCAGATTCCTTAGCTGAGTCCCCCAGGAAGCCCTGGTTTGGCCATAGACAGCCCTGGTTAATCTGTGACATACTCTCATTGGTCCACACACAGGCTGCTTTTGTTTCTGTATTATTTTTTATGTGGCCTCTGTGTGTGTGTGTGTTTGGTGAAACTTCATTTTGATATTTCAAACTTAAAAGACTATAATAAGGTTCAAGGAACTTCTGCAGACCCTTTATCCAGATTCAATTGTTTATTTTACCTAGTTTGCTTTATTATTCTCTATCTATGTATATTATTATCTTTATGCATTTTTCTGAACCATTGGCGATAAGCTGGAGGCTGCCTTTTGACCTTTAACAGTCAGATATATGGCAAATGATACCTTGTTGGGTCTTAATTAGTATTTTCTTGATCACCGATGATACTGGTCATTGGCCATGTTCTCTGTTTTTCTTATGGCTGGATTGCGCAGCATGTAGGATTGTAGTTCCCCTACCAGGGATCGAACCTGTGCCCCGCTACGGTAGAAGTGTGGAGTTCTAATCTCTGGACTGCCAGAGAATTCCCCGGCCACGTTCTTCTCCTCATCTTTTTGTGATCACATATGTGATGGGTGGCTACTCCCTTATGGATGAGCAGAGTGTGTCTGTGCTGGAAGAGACACACCGCTGGCCAGTAAATTACCTTCCACGGGGACCTCTTTGCGTTTACGTTTGCCTTGTTTTTATATGCAGGGAGATGCTGCGTGTTCTGTGTCCCTCAGTGTTGCTCCCAAGGTTTAGATGAGGTGACAGAGGTGAAGGGGCCATTGGTCTTTACAAGCACTCCCTGGCGCTCTGATGTTACCTTTGATTGGCATGGCTTTCCTTCCCCCGAGGTGATGGCACCCTTCTGCAGGTACAGTTCTTACCTCCTAGTCTGCCTTCTCACCAGGAGCCCAGTCTTGCCATCCCTGTTCTATTCCATCAGCACTCAGTTGTATGGCATTCAGTAGATGCTCAATTAATATGCATCCAGTGCACTGATGTATATTTTAAAAATATTAATATATCTTAATTATAATTGCATTTAGTATGTTATATTGTGGGCTTCCCCAATGGCTCAGTGGGTAAAGAATCTGCCTGCAATGCAGGAGACACAGGAGATGTGGGTTCGATCCCCCAGATTGGGAAGATCCCCTGGAGAATGGCAACCCACTCTAGTATTCTTGCCTAGAATGGACAGAGGAGCCTGGCAGGCTGCAATCCAGAGGGTCGCAGAGTTGGATACCACTAAAGTGACTAAGTAACTAAACCCAGCACAGCAAGTAATGTATTATATATACTACATGGACATGGCTCAAACGTTTTAAAAAGATAACAGCAAAAAATCTCCCCAGCTGTCTTACATTCTATTTATTTCTACACTTTGGAAAATAATTGTGCATTATTTTATAATGCTGAAGCTACTCACAGTCCCCATGCAAGGTATCTTAGAGAAACTCATGCATGTATACACTCATAAGAGCATTCATAGCAGCACTGTTCTCAGTAGCCAAAATTTGTGTGGGAGGTGGGGGTGGAAACACAAATGTCCTCTGGCCCTAGAAAGAATAAATTATGGGGACTTCCCTGGTGCTCCAGAGGCTGAGACTCTGAGGTGCTAATGTAGGGGGCCAGGGTTTGATCCCTGGTGGGGGAACTAGATCCCACATGCTGCAGCTAAGAGTTTGTATGCTGCAACTGAAGGTCCCATGTGTGGCAACTAAGACCCAATACAGCCAAATAAATAGATATTTTAAAAATAGACTTAAAAAAAAAGAAATAAGTTATGATATATTTATGATGAAAAACAACTCAGTACAATGATGTCCCAAAAAAGGGTGACTCTCCCAATGTTAAGTGAGAGAATCAAGGCACGAAAAAGATACACATTTTTGTGTGCTTCCAGCTTTATCTGATTCTAAAACAGGTAAAACTGAATTGTATTGTTGAGGAACATGTGTAAGTGGTAAACTATGAAGAACAGCCAAGAAATTATTATCCCAGAAGGATGGTGATTACCTCTTGAGAAGAGGGGAGAATTCGTGATGTGGAAGGAGTCACTGGGTGTTTTCGGCGGGGGTTGCCTAGCATTGTTGATTTTTTTTTTTTTAACTTGATGACTGTTACCTGAGTGTGGGCGTTATAATTATTCATGAAAGTACACATATATTTAGTGAACTTTTCTATATGTAGTTCACAACAAAAAATAGAAACGGAGTTTCCCTACTTTCTCTCTCCAGCCTGCCGTCCACCTTCTCAGAGGCAACCAGTCGGTGTATGTATGTGGGTGTGTGTATCTACTTTCACTTATACACAAATTTTATACACATATATGATTGTTTTTTAATATTATAGTTTTTTTTTTTTCCATTCAGCAGCTGGTTACCGTGTGTTCTTGCCGCCCCGTTTGCCACTCACACGTAGTCTGGCACCTGCTGTGCGTGGGGGGAGCACTTCATTTCATTAAATTCAGTTCTTCCAAGGACCCGGGAGGCAGGTCCTTTTATGAGAAGGAAACAGGCTATTGGGCCTCTGCTCTGGGGCTTCCTAAGCATCGCATTAGCGGCCCTGAGACCCCACCAGGGCAGTGTCAAGGGCAGTCCCCGAAGCCCCCGGCCCTGGGCTGCTCTGACGGGTCCCTGTCTCCTTCCAGGTGGCCCTGTGCACCCAGGTGGCCCTGGGCATGGAGCACCTGTCCAACAACCGCTTTGTGCACAAGGACCTGGCCGCCCGCAACTGCCTGGTCAGCGCTCAGAGACAGGTGAAGGTGTCGGCCCTGGGGCTCAGCAAGGACGTGTACAACAGGTAGGGGGCATTTCGGGGGGCTGGCGAGGGGCAGAGGGCAGACACAGCTGGGCCGGAGGAGGGGCTCAGTCCAAAGCTGGAGGGCCTGGAGGAGGGGGGCCCAGACCCCTCCCACCCTCTCCCAAGCCTGCAAAGGCACCCCAGCCAGTAGACCTCAGCTCCCTGACCTTACGCTTTTCTCTAGTGATAAAAAAATTATACATCTTTAAAAAGAATAACTAGTCAAACTTTATAACAGTTTCTATATAATTTGACTATTCATAGGGTTCCCTCTGTTACTTCCTGAATTCAGTCATTATTGTTTTTAAGTCTAAGACTTAAAGCTCAGCACCCATGGCCATAGATCACTCTGGAATACATGCTACATAGTGCCTCTCACCCCGAGTCATCCCACCTCTGACTCACCACAGTTCGTCTGGCTGTTACTTTAGTCATGGTTGGTTTATCACCAGTAAAGTTCTTTAAAATTTCTTTCCACTTAACACATGCATTTTTCACACTTTTAAACTAATAAAGTACGTATGATTAGAAACTTTTAAAAAATACTGATATTTCGGCAAAGTCTGATTCTTAAGGGAATTTTTTAACCATCAGACCCTAGACGGATGCCTCTAGATTTCATCTGGTGTGTGTATGCCCCTACCCCTTGTCAAACAAAAATGTTTCCAATGTCCCAGAATGCCTTGATACAGGAAATTTGGGCTCCAGCCTGGGTGTAAGACCCAGACCCTTGGGGTGAGGCTGAGGCCCCAGACTCTGCCCTTCTTCCCACCCCACTGCCTCTGTGTCCTTCTGTCCCACAGTGAGTACTACCACTTCCGCCAGGCCTGGGTGCCCCTGCGCTGGATGCCCCCCGAGGCCATCCTGGAGGGTGACTTCTCCACCAAGTCTGATGTCTGGGCTTTCGGCGTGCTGATGTGGGAGGTGTTCACCCACGGGGAGATGCCCCATGGTGGGCAGGCAGACGATGAGGTGCTGGCAGGTAGGCAGCTGTATTTCCAGGGAACAGTTCACCGTGTTCTCTAGGTGGAGAGCTTACTCGGGGTCCTGGGGCCAGTTCAGCCTGCCTCCCCTCAGGGCTGGTGTCTGCAGGTATGTGGATGTGGCCATTCCCCTTGTGAGATTTCCAACACACATTCATACCGCTTGGTAAATAGCCCTGTCCCTGTCGTCGTCACTCTAGCCACTCTGATGCCTGCCCATTGACCCCACTTCAGCCTCCGTGCACTGGCTGCTGCTTGCGCAGCGTGGACCCTGCCCCCGCCCGTCTGTGGGAACTGGCACCAGGGAAGGTCCTTCCCTTCAGTTGTAAGATACTTGCCAAGAACTGCTTGAATCTCTTCTCACGTGCACTGTCCAGTGCCCCTGAGTCTCCCTCTCGTGGCCGCCTTTGGGAACTGCAGGCTCTGCAGGGTGTTGGCATGCATGCATGCTCAGTCACGTCCATCTCTTTGGGACCCCATGAGCTGTAGCCCGCCAGGCTTCTCTGTCCATGGAATTTTCCTAGGCAAGAATGCTGGAGCGGGTTGCCATTTCCTACTCCAGGGGATCTTCCCAACCCAAGGGTCAAACCCATGTCTCCCTACATTGGCAGGTGGATTCTTGACCCTTGAACCACCTGGAAAGCCCACCGAGTATTGGACAGATGGTTAAATATTTTGACTACCCCTCTTCCCATCTTTCTGCAGACTTGCAGGCTGGGAAGGCCAGACTCCCGCAGCCTGAAGGCTGCCCTTCCAAGCTCTACCGGCTGATGCAGCGGTGCTGGGCCCTCAGCCCCAAGGATCGGCCCTCCTTCAGCGAGATCGCCAACACCCTGGGAGACAGCCCCGCTGACAGCAAGCCGTGAGGAGGGAGCCCAGGCAGGCTGTGCCTCAGGATGGCGTGGGCAGGGGAGGACTTCCTGGGGGGTGCCCGCAGCATGAGGGGCTAGATCCCGGTCCTCCTGGGCCCCAGGGGCCCCGCCCTGGCAACCCAGGCACTGCTGAGGATTGGCAGGGCCTGGGCTTTCTTCCTCTTCCCCACCTTCAGCTCTTCGGAGAGGCTGATTCGGACCCAGACTGGGTAGCTGGGGCCTTGGTCTGGGCAGCTTTCTCTGCCACCCGTACCCCCATCAGGGACAGTGTGGGTGCCTCAGGTAACCCCAATTTCTGGCCTGGGTCTCCTTCCCTTGTCCAGGTCCAGTTCTGCCACCCACCTGCCAACTTCATGCTGGCGGGGTGGGGGTGTATAGTACTGGGCTGCGGGTGAGCTGGCTTCCAGGGAGTTCCTTAACATACTCAAGTCCTGGGTGGTTCTGGCTCCCCAGGGCCCACTTTGGGGTCTGCACTTGGATTGTGGAGGACACGGCCAGCGAGTCCTCCCCCATGGACGCTGGGCCCCAACCCAGCCCCGCGTCTCCTCCCCCACCTTCTCTCCTTTCCTCATCCTAAGTGCCTGGCAGATGAAGGAGTTTTCAGGAGCTTTTGACACTATATAACCCGCCCTTTTTTGTATGCACCATGGGCGGCTTTTGTATGTAATTGCAGTGCGGGGTGGGAGGGCATGGAAGATGGGGGTTGGTCCTGGAGGAGACAGGATGGTGGCCCCCCCTGCCTCACACCTTTACTGTTGTTGTTGTTTGTTTGTTTTGGGTTTTTTTTTTTTTCACATTCGCTGCTCTCAATAAAGAAGCCTTTTTTACAACCTGCTTCTGAGGCTCACTCCCTACCGTTGTCCATAAATGATGTACCTCCTTCCCCCCCACACATCAGAAGGAACTGTGTGCCTTCTCGGAGTCTGGCGTGGGGGTGCTAGGGCATGGATACCTGGCAGACACTGGTTCTGGTCTCTGGTTTGTGGAGCAGTTGTAAACTTTTTTTTGGGGGGGGGGTTCATGCTGCTCAGCTTTTGGATCTTAATTCCCAAGTCAAAGAATTGAACCCGGGCTATGGCAGTGAAAAAGTGGAGTCCTAACCACTCAACCACCAATTCTCTCAAGGAGCAGTTGAGAATGTGGGTTCAGAGGGGCCGAGGCCATCTCATTCCTCTGATCCTGTGTTGCTCTCTGATGCTGACTAATTATTCTCTGCTGGCTGACCACGTACTCACATTCAGGTGGTGAGTGTAAACGTATGAGGAGGGGACTAGTGAGGGTGGGATAGGAGGAGTTAATGATACCTTCAGGTCTCTGAATCCCTTCAAGACTCTAGGAAGGTGATGCAAGGAGACAGGACTGAGCCAAGATTCACTTCATGCCTCACTGCTCCAGGGCTTTCAGCCTCAGCTGGTTTGATTCCTGGCTCTTCATTGCCCAGACCTCTCATGTCATCAGTTATCCTCTCCCAGATTGGAACTTCAGCATGGTTTCCCATCCAAAAGAAATGAGTCCTGACCTCTGGAATTGTTCTGGTTCCTGCTGTTCCTCACCAGATTTTTCAGTAATGAACAGCTGGAACTTCCCTGGTGGTCCAGTGGCTTAAGACTCCACACTCCCAACGTAGGTTCGCTCCCTGGTCAGGGAAGTAGATCCTACATGCCACACCTAAGACCTGGCACATCTGAATAAATAAAAGAATATTTTTAAGAAGAATAGGTAATATTTATTAAATACTTGTTTTGTACCAGTCACTTTGCTAAGCACTTAATATGCGTTATCTCATATTGAATTTGTTCGACCACTCTGTTAGCCAGATGTTATTGTCCCATGTTCACACATTTGGAAGGCAAGGTAGTTTCCATGAGGTCACCCAACTGGTAAGTGAGCCACTCTTGTGAATATACAGTGTGGTACATCCTCGTGTGTTGTAGTGAAAAAATCCAGAGCAGTTTATTTAGAACTGTGTTTTTCAAACTGTGGGTTGCAACCAGCATTAAAAAAAAAAAGAAATGTAGTAAAAAACTGTCAGAGTACATTGTATACCTTATGGGTAAGTATTGTTTTACAGAATTTTGTGTGTTTTATTTGGTATGTGTTTGGGTGTGTTCGCTTATGTCTCAGTTATTGCAGTGGTGCTTCTGCATAAAAAACCCACATCTCACAAGAATGGTCTATTTTCCTCACTCATAATCTGCAAGGTGGTGAGGTTTGCTCGGTCTTGACTGGACTTAGCTACATTCACCCAGGCTTGGCACCAGGTTGTAGGTCTGGCTTGGGTCTACTCTCCTGGCCCCATGCCATGCTCTCATGCAGGAGCAGGGGCACAAGAAGTCCCATCAGATCATGCCAGCACATTTATCTATTTATTTGTTTTTGGCTGTGCTGGGTCTTTGTAGCTATCCTTAGGCTTTCTCTAGTTGTGGCAAGTGGGGACTGCTCTCTAGCTGTGGTTCATGGGCATTGTGCTGGCTCCTCTTGTTGCAGATGGGCTCTAAAGTGTGAGCTCAGTAGTTGTGGTGCTTGGGCTTAGTTGCTCTAAGACATGTGGAATCTTCCCAGACCAGGGATCAAACTTGAGTCCCCTGCATTGGCAGGCAGATTCTTAACCACTGGACCCCTGGAGAGGTCCCATGCTAGCACATTTAAAAGTGTAAGTCTCTTAACATTTTACCAGCCAAAGCAAGTCACAAGTCCAGACCCAACACCAGCATCAGAAAGGATGTGGATATTTCATTCCAACACAGGTGTGAAAAGTGAGTGCAATAATTGAATTCACCCCAGTGTGCAATGTTAAAAATTATCTCCTGTGGTTGAAATTCTGGGAAGGCAGTACTCTAGAAGGCCATTCGTCACTTGAGCCTCTTCTAACCTGGTCGTCTTTGACAGCTCTACAGCCGCTAACACAGCTGGCTATGCCCGCCTTTTTGGGGTGCTGCGTCATTGTATCATGCAGGATCTTTCAGTGTGGTGTGTGGGCTCTCTAGTCGTGGTGCACGGGCTCAGGAGATATGGCACCCTCGGGCTTAGTTGCCCCATGGCATGTAGGATCTTAGTTGCCCAACCTGGGATTGAACCCACATCCCGGCATTGCAGGGTGGATTCTTAACCACTGGACCACCAGGAAGCCCCCACATCTGCCTTTTTGAACTCTGTTGTCTTGCCTTTGGGGATGGTACCCCATGTACACTTTCTCTAACCAGGGCTTCTACAGCCCTGGCTGTGGCTTCCCTCTTCTGCCTGCTTCAGGGATGGCTGTTCTCCTGGTTTCTGTCCTTGGCCTTCCTCTCTCTACATTCTCAGCCTCAGGAATCTCCTCTTACCTCGTGTGGCTTTAATTGGCCCTCCAGTGTGGACAGTTCCCAAAGTATTAGCTTCAATTCCAGCCTTTACCTCAAGCTTCAGACTCAAACTCACTTTTCCCTAACAGGGCATTTCTCTACCTGTTTCTGTGGGCCCAAACTGAACTTAACCTCTCTCTCAAACCTGTTTCTCCAGCCAAGTTCCCTGTTTCCATTGTTGGTACCATGGTTTATAGAGGAGTCATCCTTACTTAGAATCTCAACCCATCATGAGCCCTCTTTGAGCTCTCCATCAGCTCATCACCAAGATCAATTTATTCTGTCTATACTGTTTATGTCTTTGCTTAGTTTTAAGGGAAAACTTTTTTTGCATAAAAGTGATACTGAGGACTTACCTGGTGGTCCAGTGGCTAAGACTCTGTGCTCCCAGTGCAGGGGCCCTGGGTTCCATCCCTGGTCAGGGAACTAGATCCTGCATGCTGCAACTAAAGATACCACATGCTGCAGCTAAAAGATCCCAAGTGCCACAACTAAGGCCCGGGACAGCCAAATAAAAAAATGTTTTAAGTAATATGATCGTGGAAGAAGTCAAGTGGTACAGATTTGTATAAAGCAAAAAACACATTCCTCTAGTCCCCAAAGCCCACTTTCCGGTGGTAAGCACGATGAGTGTTTGCAGCGTGGCCGTCCTGACTTTTCCTGGGGACACTGACTCATGACCTTTTCATCCCCACTGACACTGCCATTGAGACCTCTTTTCTTCTATGTGAAGTTAAGAATCCCTGTGTAAAGGTTAATCCCCAATGCAAACAATTTTATTTATTGGCTGCGCTGGGTCTTCGCTGCTTCGTGCAGGCTTTCTTTAATTGCCATCAGTGAGGGCTGCTCTTCCTTGCAGTGTACAGGTTTTCTCACTGTGGCGGCTTTTCTTGTTGCAGCCCACAGGCTCTCGAGTGCACCGGCTTCAGTAATTGTGGCCTGCAGGCTTTAGAGCTTCAGTAGTTGCGGTGCACAGGCTTATTTTCTCCACTATATGTGGAATATTCCCAGACCAGGGATCAAACCTGTGTCCCCTGCACTGGCGGGCAGATTCTTATCTACTGCACTACCAGGGAAGTCTGAAAACAATTTTTTCCCCCAAATTATTTATTTGGCTGCTCTGGGTCTTGGTTGCTCAGTTGTGGCATGTAGAATCTAGTTCCCTGACCAGGGATGGAGCTGGGGCCCCTGTGTTGGGAGCTTGGAGTCTTACCTGCTGGGCCACCAGGGAAGTTCCATGAAAATAGTTTTAGAGTGTTAGCAATTTTTCTTTTTCTTTTGTGATAGCAATTTTTTAAAAGCAATCTTAAGTTTGTTCTGATTTTATTTGGGTGATAAAAATCAGAAGAAAGAAAGGTCAGGTAGGAATGGTATAGAATGAGGGGAGCTGCCTGGAATCTTGATATCTTTCTGGAGGTCCTTCATGGTCTGGATGGACAGGGGGCTACTGTGGTCGAGGCCTTATCGGAGAGGCACCAAACTCACATTCCAGGGAGGCCAGGAAGGGGACTTATCTGAGTTCAGTGGGCTGTGTGGAGTCTGTGGGGAACCTGAGAGCAAACGCCTCTTCTATGGCCATCATTCAGCTGCCCTCCAGCCTGTTGTGCTCTTGTGGTCATGTAGGTCCAGAGTTGCTAAAAATTCCAATTTTTTTAAGAAAGGCTGTATATTCAGATTTTTATGTAAAATATCCTGATTTGAAAATATTCTGTGGTTGAAACAGAACACACTTATGAACCAGTTTTTTTTTTTTTAATCATTGTGTTTGTCTTTTTTTAATTTGGCTACATCAGTTCTCAGTTGCAGTAGGCAGGATATTTGATCTTCTTTGTAGCATGTGGTATCTAGTTCCCTGACCAGGGATCAAACCCAGGCCCCCTGCACTGGGAGTGTGGCCTCTTAGCCACTGGACCACCAGGAAGGTCCCTGAATCAGTTTTCACTTTAGCTTTATCCAACAATCAGCAGTTTTGTTTCCTGAACCTGCAGTAATGTGGTGTGGGTGGAGGTCTACTCCCTCCTCCCCCTTGCCCCCCCAGCTCTCGTTACAAAGGGTCATGAAGATGAAGCCATGGCAAGCAGGCGAAGGATCTGTGGCACCAATACTGGTGGCACCACTAACACCGGGGTTGGGTGAAATGGGAGACCCGTAAACCTGTGAAGGGAAGCCGAGCATGCTCCTTGTGGACCCCCTTCGCTGTGGACGTGGCAGACAGCTGTGGTTCTCTGCTGAGTGGGCTGTCCACCCTTCATGTGTCTAAACTAGGCATCTCAAACAGAAAAGTATTTAGAAGCCAGGTGGGAATGAATCCTGACGGCTACGGTTGTAAGACTGTGAAGCTCAGACAAATCCCAAGCAACCATTTGTGGCCCCTGAAGCCTGTCTGGAACCTATTTATCTATTTGACCTGTTCTTCCTCTTGAGCTAACACATTCCATATGTTTAACTACCTGTTGTGTGGAGTAAATTAGGAAAAGAGGAGGAAAAAGCTCCTTAAAAAACTATTAGGAAAGGGAGATGAGGAGGGCTCTTAATTCCTATATTTAGGGGTTTAATGAACAAGCTGTGTTTTTAGTTATGTTTGTGCAGGTATGTATGTATATATACACATGATATCTCACAAATCTTGAACATACTTAATTTCAGTATTATTCAAAGTCCTTGGGTTGCAATTCACAGTAAGATATGCAGTTGACATTGTCATCTAGTACACACACATTGAACCACATGAAATCAACAGTATCCCACCCTCGACCTATAAAATGGCAACGTTATATTGTTCAAACTAAAAATAATGCAAAGAGAAGTAAACAAGAATATTTACTCTTGGTTTTTTTTTTGTGAGACCCATTAAATTAATAATAATTTACATGCTGGATGCAGTATACTAAATTGCCATATACTAAATATATACTAAATTTACTTATCATACTACTTGATTCACCACCGACTGCTTTATTTAATCTTTACAGTAATTTTAAGGTGGGAATCATCACTCTCTCCCAATCGCCTTAAACATAAGGTGATTACCTCATCACTTGGACCACCACTGCACTTTAATCTGTATCTCATCTCATCTTTATTAAGAACCTTGAGGGATGGGTACCAACAGTGAAGTCATGTGGAGTTTGGAGAGGTCAAACACTTGTTTCCAGGAGCAGGGCAACTTTCAGATTTCAATAATTTCTGTAATAGTGAAGTTCAAGTCACTTTCACTGCCTTGTAGTTGAGAACCAGACCCAGACTGTAAACCTGGGTTTTGCAGCACTCCAGGCTAACTCCGCCACACCCCCCACCATGGGCTTTTCATGGTTTTCAAGAGAAGGGTGTGTGTGTGTGTGTGTCTGTGTGTTGCACTGTGTGTTGCAGTGTGTGTGTGTGCGTGTGTGCCGCGCCTGTGTGCACTTGCTTGCTTAAACTTTCTGCTCCTCTACACTTTTTCCCAGGCCTCTGCACTGGCTGGGGGTGGGCTTTATCCCTGGGACCACCCCCTCCCCCAGTCCAGCCCGCAGCTGGAAGTCTTCACAGATCATCTCTCCTCCCTGCCCCCATTGCGACCGGGAGGCCGACTGTCTCCCCGGGTCTTTTCCAGATGTACGTCTGCCAAAGATCCCCGCCCCCCGCAACCAGTATAGAGAATGATGAATGAGGAGAGGGGAGCCGTCCTGGTGGGAAAGTGTCGTCTCCTTGAAAAGAGAGGGAAAGGGAAAGGAAGTGGCTGGGGGGAGGGGAATTGGTGGAGCCGAGAGGCCGCGCGGCGAGACAAGTCTGGACAGCGGGGACCCAAGCCTCCTCTGCTCGGCCAGTAACGTTGACTCCCTCAGGAAGGCTTGGGGAAGTGCTTTAATCCCTGCACTCCCTGGGAATTTGGGCTGCATATAATTAACTGCAATCCGCACAGTCCACTCAGGGACTATCCCAGTGTTGGCTTCTAGCCCTTGCAGCGCCGAGTTCCCAGTGCGGCTCCCTCTCCGCAAGACTGCGCTCCAGTGCTCTTCCAGGCTTCCTCTCTGCAGGTTCCTCCCAATTCTCTCTACCATTCTCTGGCCAGGGGGGCGGAGTCGTACCTCCTCTCCTGTTCCTTTAAGAGACGTTGGCTCCTCCCCTTTTGGAGTCGCCGTCTGACGCGGGATGACAGCAGCGAGTTCGGTATGTCTATGCAAATAAGCGCCCCCTGTGGGCCAATGGGGAGCGGAGGTGCCGGAACCGCGGACCAATGGGGCGGGGGTGCAGGGGCTCACCATATAAGGAGCGGCCTCGCCATAAAAGGAAACATTGTATCTCTTTATATGGGGGGAAGGGTCGGGGGATCCCTCGCCGCCAGCGCGTGGTCCCGGCCCCCTCCACCCGCCGTCTCGGCCGCGGCCGGCAGCCCCTGCCCCCCGGGGGACGCTGACGGCCGCCGGGCGCGCCGCCCTAGCGTACGGACAGGGGGCGCTCCGCGCGGCCTGGGGCAACCCGGGCCACAGGGGCAGGAAAGTGAGGGCCCAGGTCGGCCCGGGCGTGCAGGGGCCCCGGGTTCGCAGCGGTAGTGGCGGCAGAGATAGCGGCATTAGCAGCAGCGGGAGCACCGGGTTGAGCCGGGAAGCCGATGGCGGCGGCGGCGGCGGCTCCGATTCCTCGCTGACTGCCCGTCCGCCCTCCTGCATTGAGCGCCATGTTACCGAGCCAAGCTGGGGCCGCGGCGGCGCTGGGCCGGGGCTCAGCCCTGGGGGGCAGCCTGAACCGGACGCCGACGGGGCGGCCGGGCGGTGGAGGCGGCGGGACAAGAGGGGCTAACGGGGGCCGGGTCCCTGGGAACGGCGCGGGGCTCGGGCCGGGCCGCCTTGAGCGGGAGGCTGCAGCAGCAGCGACAACCACCCCGGCGCCCACCGCGGGGGCCCTCTACAGCGGCAGCGAGGGTGACTCGGAGTCGGGCGAAGAGGAGGAGCTGGGCGCCGAGCGGCGCGGCCTGAAGCGGAGCCTGAGCGAGATGGAGCTCGGTGTGGTGGTCGGTGGGCCTGAGGCGGCGGCGGCGGCCACGGGGGGCTACGGGCCAGTGAGCGGCGCGGTGAGCGGGGCCAAGCCGGGTAAGAAGACTCGGGGCCGCGTGAAGATCAAGATGGAGTTCATCGACAACAAGCTGCGGCGCTACACGACCTTCAGCAAGAGGAAGACGGGCATCATGAAGAAGGTACCGGGCTGGGAGGCTGGCCGGCCAACGGGAGCCCGGGAGGGTGGGGACGCGCAAGGGGAGCCCGGGAGGAAGGCTGAGCCGAGGCGGAGGTGAGAGGCGGCGAGTCCGCAGGAGGTGTGTGGGAGGGGTTGACTGTTGCCCCGGGAGGGTGAAAGGGGAGGGGCCGCTAGGGAAATGTGGGGAGAGGGGAGATGCCGCGAATGTCCGGAAAAGCGAGGAAAGGCGCCGAGGTGGGAGTGACGGGTGCGAGAGAGGAACCGGGCCCTTGCAGAGCGGAGGAGTGAAGAGTGGTGATGGGAGGCTGCGGGGCTCCCGGGGAGGTGGTGAATGAGACCGAGGGGTCAGTAGGTCCAGTGCTCTCTGGTGTTCCTGGGAAGGCGCCGGAAAAGCGGGGAACAGATGAGAAGGTATGGGGGAGAGGAGGCTGGATCTGTATAACAACAATGATCGAACATGTGTGGGAGGAAGGTGGGCATCGCTAGAGTGGTGCTGGTTGGAAGGACGGGCAGGGCTGATGACCGAATGGGGCTCAAGAGCCCCAGTTAAGGGAGCAGAGCAGGAAAACGGATGCTACCCTGAGCATCAGAAACCAAGTCCTGCGATGACCATGGGTCTTCGTGCATCTACTGGAAGCCGGCACACTCCCTGCAGGACAGGCCTCAGAACCATTTGCCCTTGGCATAAGTGGGATTTCCAGCCCTAGGGAAAAATCGGTGCACGGAGTTTGGGGAGAAGGTTTGCAGAGGTACCTAGTAATGCCTCCTCTTCTAGCTGATTATCCAGTGAAAAGAATGAGGAAAGGAGTAGTCTTTGGGCTATAGAAGATACGGGAAGGGATGCAAGCAGAGGAAATGGGAAACAAAAAGCTCGAACTCTGGAAACATTGGCTGGTGTTTATATCCATCCCATATAGAAACCAAGGCTGCTTCCAGTGGGTTGTGGAACTTTATTGGGAGTGAGGATGCCACCTATGGGGCCATCCTTGAAGGCCCCTTCCTGGCTTTATGGCAGGGTCAATTCAGTCACTCAGTGTCTGACTCTTTGTGACCCCATGGACTGCAGCACACCAGGCTTCCCTGTCCATCACCAACTCTCAGAGCTTGCTCAAACTCGTGCCCATTGAGTCGGTATTATGGCAGGGTAATAGTTGCTAATCTAGCTGCTATCTCCCATCACTCCAGACACTGTTGCCTCAAGACAAAGAAAGTGAAAAGGGGGAGCAGAGTCTTATAGAGCAGTACAAAATGGCAACAGGTTAGTGCCTGTGCAGTTTCTGGAAAGAAATATGGGACATTTCGAGTTTAGGTGGCTCCTTATCCCTGACATCTATGTGATACTCAGTGTAGTAGCGACTTCATCCTGGTCCCTGTGACGGTGAGGAGGTGGTGGGAGCCATCTCTTCGTGAGGCTCTGGCACCAAGCTGTAGTGAGGAGCAGCTCCCTGGGCCACTCTGTGTCTGCTGAGGTTATATGCTCTGTCACCAGGAGCTGTGACTATTTGCTTGGGGTCTCTGCTGGTCAGTGGGGCTGTTCCTCAAAGGAGGGGCATGGGGTTTTTCTACTCTTCAGCTAACCTTCATATATCCTTCAGACAGGACCCCCTTAGAGTCACTGGAGAGGAAGGTCATTATGGGAGTGGGAACTTGAAATCATTGTGTACTTCCCTCTCTTTCCTACTAGCCAAGGAAGGTAGCGATTAAACATTTTGCTGTTCTACCCATCTCCTCCCCCCTACCCCCAGGCCTATGAGCTGTCCACGCTGACAGGGACACAGGTGCTGTTGCTGGTGGCCAGTGAGACAGGCCATGTGTATACCTTTGCCACCCGCAAACTGCAGCCCATGATCACCAGTGAGACTGGCAAGGCACTGATTCAGACCTGCCTCAACTCGCCAGACTCTCCACCCCGCTCAGACCCCACCACAGACCAGAGAATGAGTGCCACCGGCTTTGAAGAGACAGATCTCACCTACCAGGTGTCGGAGTCCGACAGCAGTGGGGAGACCAAGGTGTGTTTGGGTCTCCTGTCTGAGGGGATGGAAGGGGAAGGACCTGACCAGCAGAGAGGGGAAGAAGGGGTCTCTCTCCCTTGGCCTGGACAGGTGGATAGGTGCCTACTGATGTGGAGTGGAGCCGGGTTAGTGCCCCGCATCTTAAGGTACAGGTGTCCATCCTCGCTATCCTGACAGGAGGCCGGCCCCCTAGATAAGCGGGCGGCCTCCGTGCCCATATAAGGCCGGCTCCGGCTCCACGCCGGCCTCCCGCCTGCAGCCCGCCTGCCTGGCAGGGCTCTTGCATTCCTCCCGCCAGCTGTCTCCCTGCTGGGGGCGGGGGCGTCGCTTAGCCCTGCCCTCCTGGCTGACTGGGTCGCCCGGGAATAGGAAGGGAGCACTTATGGGTTCCAGGGTCCTGGGAAGCCAGCACTGTCAGCAGGCCGGCTGATTGGCTACGCTGGAGACTACCTTACTAGCCAGCCGCCTGCCTCTTCAGGATGTCCGGGCCTGCGCACGTTAGGGAGTGTATTCACTCGGCTGTTAGGGATGCCGGCCCTGGTTACGCCTCCCCCTTCCTTTTCCCGGTTAGGAGGGGGGCGGGGCTTCCTCCCCTTACTGCTCTGGGGAGCTCCACCTTCCGGGTGGCTCTTCATGAACTGGCCAATCGGAGGAAGCGGCACTGTTTGCCTTAGCAACGCCTCCGCCAATCAGGGGCTTGGAGCTCCACTGTTTCGCCAACGTCCAGCGCTGACCCACCTCCAGGGTCTGAACCCCCTCAGTTCTCTGGGCTTGGTTCTCATCTCGTGGCTTTCTCCTTCTTCTAAGAACAAAGGCTCCCTGAGGGGAGAGTCAGTGTTCTAGACTCCCCAATCTTTTAGTGGGAGGGTTAGTTTATTCCCAGGACATTTTGCTGAATGAATAGTCTTTGGTGCTTCATTGCCAGACCCCTCAAGATCGCTCTCAAACCCTAAGTTCCCTGAAAAACTGAAAAACCTATCTCAGAAGCAGGATCTGGGAAAGGCTCACCACTCCATCTTTACTCTGGGTGTAGGATACACTGAAGCCGGCGTTTACCGTCACCAACCTGCCGGGTACCACCTCCACCATCCAGACAGCACCCAGCACCTCTACCACCATGCAAGTCAGCAGCGGCCCCTCCTTTCCCATCACCAACTACCTGGCACCAGTGTCTGCTAGTGTCAGCCCCAGCGCTGTCAGCAGTGCCAACGGGACTGTGCTGAAGAGTACAGGCAGCGGCCCCGTTTCCTCCGGAGGCCTCATGCAGCTGCCTACCAGCTTCACCCTCATGCCCAGTGAGTCACAAGGGGCAAACTGACCATGCTAAGAGTGGGTTTAGGGCTGGTGCAAGAAGAAGGTCTTTTTTTACTTAGAAGGAGGGTGGACAGGGGCCAGAGCCTGAGAAAAGCCTCTAATGTCCCATTGGTAGGCATGCCTCTCCCCCTTGGGACTTGAACTGTCCTTGTCAGTAAATTTCCACCATACACTCGGGTCTTGCCTAGCAAGCCCAGCTCTGTGCCCCCACTGCCACAGGGACAGCAGACATTCTACCACTTCCCTACCTTGACTGGAAGGCAGATCGTGTCCTTGATGGATGGGTGCCTGCTCCTGTGTCAATCAAAGAGGGGAGAGGCAGGGTCTGGGGCAGGAGAAAGAGGGAAGGGCAAGAACAGAGTATGGAAGCCCCTGGAAATAAGATTCTGGATCTCAGGGGCCTCTTTGGCTCTCAGGAAGGACAGTGATGGGAGTTGGGGATAGAATGTCAGCCCCTTGGGCCTGGGGGTGTTTGAGGGTGCTTGGTGAAGGTGGTGGGTGGGTAGGACAGAGCACGAGTAAGTCTCTGTGTCTTACAGGTGGGGCAGTGGCCCAGCAGGTCCCAGTGCAGGCCATTCAGGTGCACCAGGCCCCACAGCAAGCGTCTCCCTCTCGCGACAGCAGCACAGACCTCACGCAGACCTCCTCCAGCGGGACAGGTATAGCTTGAAACTCTGTCACCTCCCTGCCCTGCCTCATTCATGAGGCCTAGCAGCAGGTGCCCAGGATTATCCATCTTGTAACTAAGGTCAGCAAATTTCTTAATGTGGAGACTGAGGCTTTTGGGTTAACTAACCCTTTCCCTAATCCTTATGAGAAAGTCAGGTGAGGATGGCTGGTTTTGAATCCGGCCCTGCAGTGGGGCTATGAATTTCAGGAAGAAATTAGGGACCATTGAGGTCACTCTCCTCACTCACGTGAAAAGCCTGAGGCCCTGAAAGAAGTTCCTTTCCCACAGACACACATTTGCTCAGTTGCCAGGAAATATTTACAGAGCACTTGTCTCCTTGTGGGAGGGTATCCTAGCTTTTGAGTAATCATAAGTCCCCTCCATGTCTCTAGTCATTTTATTTTTTTATTTATTTTTTCTTTTTTATTTATTTATTTTTTCTAGTCATTTTAGAAATGATGAGACACTTTCAAAATAAAATTACTTTGAAGTTCTTGTTAATCACAACCCTGTTACACAAAGTTTGGTCTGTGGAAGGAGGACCATCATCACCTGGGAGCTTGATAGAAATGTAGACTCTCAAGCCTCACTCCAAACATACTGATTCAGAATCTGCACTTTAAACAAGATCCCCCGGTGACTGTACACACATTTAACATTGGAGAAATGCTTGTTTAAAAGCTGGTTCTGTTAGCCGCATGTTGAGGAAGAGGGAGGAGGAGTAAGAATGGATGAGAAATGGGGTGGAGTTTCTCTCTCAGAGAAGAGTATCTGAGTCTCCTTGGCTTGGGTCAGTCATTGTAATCTTTATTTTTCCCAGGGCCTTGGGGTCTTGGAACAGAGCAGATAGATAATCGAATAGAACGATGTGATAGGATACACTGAAAGGTTGGTGCGGTTGTGTTCAAGCAAAAAATAAGGCTTTTCTCAGTCGATGACAGGGAACAGAGGAAGGAGCTTTGTCTAGGTTTCTACCTGGGAAATGGCAGGAGGGCTCTGGAGGCCTGGAGTTCCTGGGGGTGGGATGGGGGCTCTCAGTCAGCACCAGTGCCGACCTCCCTGATGTGTGTCTGTGTTTGCCAGTGACGTTGCCTGCCACCATCATGACGTCATCTGTGCCCACAACTGTGGGCGGCCACATGATGTACCCCAGCCCCCATGCGGTGATGTATGCGCCCACCTCGGGCCTGGCTGATGGCAGCCTCACTGTGCTCAATGCCTTCTCCCAGGCGCCATCCACCATGCAGGTGTCCCACAGCCAGGTCCAGGAGCAAGGTGAGTCAGGGGCAGGGCTGCAGAAAGGAGGACCATTTCCTCCCTCACACACACACACACACTCACACACACTCACATGTCTCCCCTCAACTCACATGCACACGCTCACACATACCCAAACCAGATGCTCACACATATACTTATATGTATATACACACAGATGCTTGCACACACACTCGAACACCCACACTTACATGCACACTTGACACATTTGGACACTCACCCTTGGGCACTTACATCTGAGACTCACCCAGTCAACTTGTGCACTTACCATCACACCTCCAAGATCTGGAAGTTTCTCTTGAGCAAGTGATTTGAGTCTCTCCTGTGGTTATCTCATGCAGGTGGCGTCCCCCAGGTGTTCCTCACAGCACCGTCTGGGACAGTGCAGATCCCAGTTTCTGCAGTTCAGCTTCACCAGGTAGGTGGGGGCACCTTCCATTCCAGCCAGCCAGCCTCTTCTTTATCTTGACTTGGGGAATTTCATTACGGGGTGGTCCAAGCCAAGACCCTTAGCCGGGAGGCCCGTCTATTTTCCTGGTCAGGCCTGGGTGGTTGGCAGGCGGGCGGGCGGGCAGGCAGGGGGTAGCCTGAGCTGGCCGGTCAGTTCCAGCCCCCCACCTCCTCCTCACACACCCCCTTCCCTCCAGATGGCTGTGATAGGGCAGCAGGCCGGGAGCAGCAGCAACCTCACCGAATTACAGGTGGTGAACCTGGACGCCGCCCACAGCACCAAGAGTGACTGATCCGCCCTGCCGCCCTGGACAGATGGCCCAAGGGACGGCACCACTTATTTATTGTTGCCTTTTCACGTTTTCTTTACACACATGTTGACGGGCCGCAGGAGGGAGGCGGGGAGGAGCGTGGGCAGCCACAGGACTGAGCCCTCTCACTCCAGCCAAAGAAACGGGCCAGCCTGCCCTCCACCCCGGCCTCCCGCCCCCTGCCCCGCTCTAGCTCCGCCTCCCATTTCTGTTGATGGTGGGGCTGCCCTCCCTCCTCAGACTCCCCTTGCCAGCTTGGCTCCATGTTTGCCATGAGTATTAGCTTACCCGATGGGACCGTGCCCCCCACCACCACCACACACACAGGTCTCTGTGGGACTAGGCACTGGGTCCCCCTGAGGAAGCAGTTCGGGGGGGCCGCTCCCCAGTCTCCTTGCTGACCCCAAGTCAGCACCGTGTCTGCCACAGGCTGGGTCAGAAGAGCCCGCCCCCTGCCCCTCAGGGAGCCAGCTGGGGAGATGGGGCTTCTTCCCTCAAGCCGTGCCCGTAGCCCCTACAGCTCCTGAGCAGCGGGGCCGGTGCGCCAGCACAGCAGATTCACAGGGCGACCTGCCCTGCCCTGCCCTGCCGCTCCGTTCGGAACTCCAGGGGCTGCTGGCTTGGAGGGAACCACCCGTGTTCCCTCTCCCCCTGTCTTCCCCCCTCTCCTCCCAGCTGCTTTACTTAAAGTTGATTTTGAACTTTTTATTTGAGGAGACGAAGTGAAAACAAATCTATAAATATATATTTTTAAATATTTAACTTTTTTTTATGGCGTTTTTCTCGTCCCCCTCCCTACCCAAGCTCCCCTTCCCTGGGGAGCCCTGAGGCTCCCCGGAACTGGCTGGGCCTCTGGGGACAGAGCCACCCCATGAGCTTGGGGCTCGCCAGTGTTGGGGGGGAGATTGCCCGGTCCTGGGTTGTTTCCAGGAGAAAACCGGGGGAGGGGCCCTCAGGCCATGCCCCAACGGGGTGGGGAGGGCGACCCACAGCTCTGGGCCTCTTTTTGCCCTTCAGGGCTGTTGCTAGGGAGAGGGAAGAGGGAGACCAAATGTGGGTGGGGGGTGGGAGGGTGTCAGAGGCAACTGACTTCATTTGTGCCACACACATGGGCATTGCAGCCTTGCGCGCCCCCAGGCCTGCAGCTGCCTGGGGCCCAAGTTGCAGTGAGCAGGGTGGGGTCTGGGAGGGGGCGAGAGGCAGGACTGGGGGGCAGAAGAATTGGGAGCAGCTTTTGGGCTGAGTGTGGGGTTAGGGGAGCCAGAAATGGCAGCTCTCCCAGGGAGTGAGCAGCTACTGTAACTTTTTAAAATTAAGACAAAAAGCCTTGAAGAAAATGACTTTATTTTTCTAAGTGTAACCTCAGTATTTATGTAATTTGTACAGGGGCCGTGCCCCACCCCCTCTGCCCCCTTTGGGGTAGATCTTGAGGGTGGGCCAACATAGGGGGAGGGTCTTTTACCCTGTGTCAGCCTACCTTCACCACCTGTATCAGAGAGGGAGCTTTTTCAGAACAGGGCAGTGGGGGGTGGGTGGAGTTTTATTAACCCCTTAGGTCTGCCTTGAGTAGAAATAAGCCTGCTTCTGTGATTAGGTGAAGGGGTGGGGGAAGTTTTTACACACAGCCTAGTTATCATGGGGATGATTTGCCACATGTTTGAGAACCTCCGGACCTCTAACCTCCTTTGCTGTCTTGCCCCAGTTTGGGGTGCCAAGATGGAAGCCATCTTTCTGGCTTTCCCCAGAAGATAGCAGGGGGCTTATGGGTGGCTTACAGATTGGGGCATGGCAAATCAGGGGTCAGAGAGTGGGGGAGCTTGGGACTCAGGTCTGCAACTGCCCAGCCCCTTTTCTCTACTCTTGTTTTCACTCCACCATCACTCACTCACTCCCCTCTCCCTCACACTGGGGAGGAGACCTTGATGAATTCCTCCTCTTCCCACAAAAGACAGACCCAGTGAGTGAATCAGGCAAAGTGCTTATAATGTGTGTCGTGTGAGCATGGCCTTGGGAGAACATGCGTGCGTCAAGGATGAGGTGGCATTTTTATGTGCAGCGACCCTTGGTGTTTCCCTTCCTTGGTGGCTCTGGGGTGTGTGTGTGTGTGTGTGTGCGCGCGCGCCTGAGTGAATGTGTGTGTGCGAATGTGGGGTGTGTATGTTAGTGGTTTCTACTTCCCCTGGGATGCTGACCCAGGAATAGTGGACATGGTCACAGTCCTATGTACAGAGCTTTCTTTTGTATTAAGAAAAAAATACTCTTTCAATAAATGTATCATTTTTGTGCACAGACTGTGGGTTCTTTGCCTTTCTTTTCCCATATTGGAGGGAGGGAGGGAGGTAAGAGCACAAACCTGAGAAACAAGAGTCTGTTTAATGAAATGCAAAGGGGTGCTTTTGGGCTGTTGAACTCTACTGATTTGACTTAAGGAACACATCGAGGGTGATGGTTAGGGCCTTTATCTTCAGCCCCAGCTGTGCTAGGTCCTTAGGTCAACACAGAGAGAAGCAATTTTAATTAATAGGAAAAAGAACGCAACCAATCCAAAGCCTAGGGTTTGGGAAACTCACGGCCACGTGACCTAGAGCAAACAGAGGACTCTGCGTTTTCGTGGGAGACGAAGAAGGCAGACCCAGTAAAGGGCAAGGAGGGCTTCAAAGCCGATTTTGGAACGGAAAGGGCGGCCTACGGCTGCGGAAAAAGGGGCCAGGCTACCACGCCCCCGAGGCTGCCCGGGCAGCGCGCCCCCAGACGCGGGTACTACGCATGCTCCGCCGGCGCACGGTCCCGCCTCTCTCGCTGTGGGCCGCGTTGGGACCCGTAGCCGCCCGGGCATGCGTGCGCTGGTGGCGTGACGCGGAAAGGAGCCGCGGAGGAGGCGGGGCCAGCACTGCGGGACCGGCGCCGGGCCCCAGCGAGGGCCGAGCCGGGAGGTGGGAGGTGAGAGGAGAGTTCTGCGTCCTCCCCGCCCCTGCCCCGTCCCTTCCCCGGTTCCTTGGCCACTCTCCGTGGCGCTGACGACAGGAGCCAGGTCTTGCCGAGATTCGCTCGGTCGGTCCGGTCAGCCTTCTCCGACCGCGCCCCCCCTACCTCCTCCGCCCCCCAAGCCAGTTCTCGCGGCGGGTGCGGGCCTCCCCCGCCGCCCCTGCTGGCTTGCAAGCTCGGCCCTGACTTGCCACCTACGCTTACCTGCTGTCTCATCCCCGCAACCAAAACCTCGCCTCCGCATCTCAGTTTATTGCTCCTGTTCTCCAACCCTTCCTCTCCCCCCATTTAGGCCTTTCCGATTGTGTTACTTCATCCTGCTCATCAGTTGTCCATTGCACATCAGTTGGTTACCTCCCTGTCTTGCGCTCCTCCCCACCCCCCAACCCCCCGCATGCTATCTGGACCCCTACCCCCTTTGAGAGCCACATCCCGTCTTTCCCCTCTTCTTCACGCCTTTCTTCTGCTCTCATCCTCTATCCATGTAACCCAACATGACCCCTGCTCTGATCACCATTTCTTCATTTGGGTTTGCTGTCCGTTCTTATGCTCACCATTCTCTGTTGCCTCCACGCTGCTTCATATCTTTCCCTGAACTCTAACATAGCCGTCACTCCGCACCTACTTATAATCTTCTTCTGACACGTTAGCGTTCTACTTACCTGGGGACTGCTCCTACCTTCTCCCTCACTAAGAATAGTAGTATTAGATTCTGTTTACTGAGCACTTTCACTGTATGCTAGAGGCTGTTATGAATGCTTTATATATGTGATCTTAGTAAGTTTTTAATGACAGTTTTGTAAGTTGGGTTTAAATATTATTATCTCGCAGAGGAGAAAACTGAGGCTTAGAGATGAAGTGACTTCTCCAAAAGTACACATATAAGAAGTGAAGGAGCAAGAATTCAGAGTCCCATTTATCTGAATCTGTACCGTATTGCCTCTCTTAATACCTCTACTGTCTCCTGACCTCATTCCCTACCCTTCAACTCCATGATTATTACCTACATCTAGATATACTTGACTTAGACCTTTACCATACATACAGCATAAGGACAGGGTGGGACTTGGTTTTTTTCCTCCCATAATTTTATTTGGATCTCTAGTCCCCTCTCCCTTTCCCAGTGTTCTCATATCTTTTTCTCATCCAGTCATCTGCCTCCTTTAGTCTCTCTTCTTAATATCTGCCACAACCCACCCCTTTATACCCACATTCCAGCTTTAACCTGTTATTTATGCTCCCTGTCCTGCTCCTTCCCCCATCCTGACTTTCCTGATTTGTTCTGGCCCCACTATCTCACAGGCTGCTGTCCTACCTGCTCACCCATGTCATCCTTCTAAGTCCTGACTTGTACCCCTCAGCCGCCCTCCTGTTCTGCCCAAATTGTCCTGATTAATCATCAGCTGTTTTTATTATCTTGCTTTCTCTTCTTCTCCTCCTCTCTTGTAATTCCTTCCGTTTTGGAAACCATTTCCTCCTATCGCTGTTTTTCATTTCGTTCTCCTTCTCTTACAAATCCCAAAGTGTGTTTAGGTTATTTATTCCATCCTATTCTTGGCCTTTTCTCTTTGGCCTCCAAGTTCCATGCAGCCTACCAATCACCCCCCACCCTGTGTGCGCCTCAAGGTTCCACCCCCTTGACGTAGGTTTTTCTCTTTCCCACAGTGCCTCTGTCTCTCTCCTTGTGTGTCCCAGGAAGTCAGGATGGTGGGAGAACGGCGCACTGGGGACCTCATGGTGCCCTTGGGGCCCCGGCTACAGGCATATCCCGAAGAGCTCCTTCGACAGCGGCCTGGGCAGGATGGGCATCCTGAATACCTGATCCGATGGAGTGTCCTGAGGTGTGGGGAAGTGGGCAGAGTGGGTGTGGAGGAGGGCAAGGCAGAGCACATCCTCATGTGGCTGTCAGCCCCCGAGGTCTATGCCAGCTGCCCCATGCTGTTAGGTGAACGGGCGTTATCTAAGGGACCTCAGCACGAGACAGCTGGGGGTTCAGC